GGGGGGGGGGGGGGGGCGGCTAAATTTAGTTTTCAAGATATGTAAATAGTAAGTACTAGAAATGTAAGAAAATCGCATTTTCTAGAAAACTTTTGACGTTTTACTACGTTTTTAATAATGAAAAGTTTGCGTACTATATAAATACATCTTTATTTTCAAGTATATATAGTAGGTTTATAGCAAGGCGGCTTTTCATTAAATTGGTAGAGCATTGTTATTTATATTGTATATCTAACAATGGGACATGAACATACTAAAGTAAAGGTTGGGTACAATGTTAATGAAGATCAACAAAAACAGTTATTGTTGCTACTTGAAAACTTTTACTTGACAAAGATACTCAATAAAATTCGGTTTACTGAGAAAAGTAAAAGACGTGAATCTTTACTTATCGGAATAATGAAAAAATGTTCCCCTCTAAAGTGATCACCAGATGCGTCTGATTGTGAATAAGAATAGCGGTCATAAATTTCGAACGCAACTCTCATGCAACTGAGTTGTGAGTTGCGTTCGGTACTTATGACCACTTATTGTGTGAATTTACAAAGAAGTGCAGAAATTTGAATGGATTTGATTAAAAATGCAGCCAATCAGAGCCTTGAACATACACACTGTAAATATAATGTGTTATGGTCCACAGGCTTTCTGTTGAGGGCTCTCATTAGCTGTAATCGGTAGCATATAATCCAATCAAATCGCTGCATTTACAAACTTCTGTGATACAAGATTTTAAAAAAGCCTAATGAAGTCAAGATATTTGACGCAGTTCGTAATAGCTTGACATTGTGAAAATGGTTTCAGGTAGACACTTACAAGTTAATTTCATATTTCTTTTTTTCTAGAGAGAATGTCTTGAACAGAAAAAGTTTTTAGAATAATTATGTAAATCAAGCTACAGAATGTCATACAGAATCAAGTAAGCGTTTCAAAGGCTAGAAAATAATATTAGAGAAAACATAAGAAAAGCATTTTTGCACCTATCTGAGTCAAGGTAAAGAATAGTCTAGTTTTAAATAGAAATGTGGTACGATATAATAGCAATTTCGTATTTTTTTCTACAGATTGAATGGAATGTTCTTTTTTTCACCAACGTCAACAGGGCGGTGTACAGCAACGAGCAAAAAAAAAAAAAGATCGTTTAGATTTCAGTCTGTTAGTAACCACTTGTAGGCTTATTGTGGATCAATCTAATTAAAATAATATGACATTTTCGTTTCCATTTTTTCTCTAATGTCTTGTGTTTCCATTGTAATCTAACAACTTTTCTACCAAGGTCTGTTCTAATAACGCTGTTTTTTTTAACCAATCAAAGCCTGTCATGTAGAATCCGATTTATAACGATGACACTTTGTGTGGGGTAGCAAAACTCGAAGTATAGAAAAATGGTTGCCAATACATGTATATACCACAAACTATGTGTGGGCGTATAAAAGGATTTTATAATCTAATTTTAATAACATTGATTATGGATAGGCGTATACAAACAAGCAGATTTGTTTAATTTTGTAAGAATCACATGGATTTTGGAGTTGCGTAATATTTTCTTCATCAGGTATTGCGCAATCTTGTATTATTCCAGTGCTATGACACAGCAACCCGTGTTATCAACTAGAACTGTGAACAGTACTGAGCGTGGCACGCAACCTTGCCTCATGGCTTTAGGATCTTTTCGTTTAACCACATAAGAATACACAAACTTAACTTAAAATAATAATATTTATATTAAATTTATATACAAGATAATTATACATATATATGGACATAAGACATGCAATACATCTCTAATACGTGATCAGGGACCTCATTCCAGTCATCTGATTGGTCAATCACTAAAATCAATTTTAAAATTAGTTTAATGATTAAAATCCGCCATTTGTTGGATCTTATCTTAATCTCAGAAATGAGAATAAGTAATAGTTTTCACAGGTAACCATTGAAATTAGAGCCCTTAATTCCATGTGTGTCGAAAATTATCTGCGTTTAAATGTTAAAAAGATGACTCGTCTTTTCTTGATACACTGTCATATATAGAAATAGAGAGTGAAATTCCTAGTTTGAGATATTTATCAAGGGATTATGCGATTTTCGTAAATTTCTAGTACTACTTCTAGAAGACTATTTACATATATTCGAGACCAAAATCCAAACCCAAAAATGGTAAATCTGTAGAATAAGGCCTAAGGTAATAATCTTTATTCAATTCAACGATTTATTAAGTCTGAAACACTCAACTAGTAGATACAGAGGCTGGGTATTATAAGGTAGTATTGTTCAATGAAAAAAAATCCAGGCCCCGTATTCTCGAAACTATCTTAGCGCTAGAATGTCCTAGAATTAATGTTAGACGATAAGAACCTAAGACATCCTAGCGCTAAGATGGTTTCGAGAATATGAGACCAGGTTTCCACCCTATTATTTTCTGTAGAAGTTAATACGCTTTGTTTGCTAATTTCTAAAAAGTTTTAGTCATGTAGATAACAACAACTGTTTGAAAACATTCACAGAGAAAATGTGATTTGGACAGGACAGTAATCAATTTTTGCATTGGTATCTACGTCAACCATTCTTATTACGCCTGACAATAACCTTGCACGCAGATGAAACAAAATCTTCTTTAATTGTTTGGCGAAAGTTACCTCTGCGTGACAAAATATAGTTTGTCAGATGTTAGTTATCTCCCTTGGAGACTCTATCCACGTAGACAGGAGACGACTGGGTGTCAGAGACTAGTTAGATATCAAAAATGGAGGATGAAAGTAGTTCAATTTACCCGCCATCTGCATACGAGGTTATTGTCAGTCGTAGTAGAACGCCCAACATAACTACGAATGCAAATTTTGTAGATTTAAATGTAACATTATGCTGTAATACTTAAAAGAATTGATTTTTTTTGGATCTAATTTAAGTACTGATAAATCATACTGAAAAAACATTTATTTCTGTAATACCATGAAATAATCCACCTTTTATACATTACTGGTCTTACAAAAAGAAAGAATTGCTTATATATTCTGCACTCCAAAAATTAGCCCTTAGGTTATAAGAATTGAATACAATTTAATACATATAACATTTTAACAATATCTATATTGAGATTATTAATTGCACTTTTATTGGACGATGGTTTTAAAATATAAAAATCAAACAAAGACCTTCTATTACAAAAAAGTTAGAAGGTTGATTCTTAGAGGAAAAACTAAATGTTCTAATTTCAATTTGAAATTGTCCAATAAAAAAATAAAAGACTAAAGACCACAAAAAATTTCTGTAAAAATATGTTCAATGATTAAATATCAAAATTAAATGCTCTAATTTTCAAATTTATACTCATAATGTATTCCTAAAATATGTGGTAGAAATTGTTACAAGAATGGTAAACATTTTCAGCAGTTCTCAATATCAAGTGTTCTCAGCTGTCAAATTCAAAGCTTCACAGATGTGGCTCTTTTATTTTAGAGGCAGAATTAGTCATTCTAATAATCTAGCTAATCAATAGTACATGTAATTCTTGGTTATCCAAGTTTAAAGTTCTTATTTAAAAACATCTTCATCTCTGATAGCTGACAACTGGTGTTCTAAATCTTTATTTTTACTGGCTAATACTTGTGCTGCCAGTTTCTGATGTGCTAGAGTTTCATTCTTCTCATGAATCTGTAATTATATTGAGAATATCAGAATTAAAGACAAGTTTTCTTATTTTTTAGTGTCAAACTAAGCAAACTATTTGATTCATTGGTGTCTCTAATGAATTATCATATAATCTTAATCATTTAATTATGTTCTTATTCTAATTAAGAGTTTTAACCAATCATTTATGTCATTGTATGTACAGTCTGGATAAACAAAAAAAAGACTTATTTTTGACCTTTCTTGATCGGTCACTCATTGGAATTCTGCTGGTAGTCCAAAAGCCATCCAATTTCTCTCACTGATTCTTCACAATAAATAATCTCGATTCTTGACTGAACTTTAAACACCGATTAAATTTTTTGACCCACCATTTTTGACATAAATTTCAAAGCTCCATACTCTCCCTAATTACTAGAAAATTAGAAACTAATACATACCATTTCAGTAAGTAAAGTAATAATTTCTTGTGGTGATAAAACTGTGTTTTTGAGATCTGGTATGTCTTCTGAATACATTCTGGATGGTGTCGTACCATTGACTGGACTACCTTCTACTTCTTCTGTAAAAAGAGGATAAAAAAAATATAATACATATTCACAATGGCAATTTACTTGAAGTATAGAAAGATTCTCTTTCCAGAACTAACTTCCAAGCATAACCCTTCGCTTGTTCATTGTTCAAGGTCAGGTACTGCTGAAAGCAGATCAATATCTTCATCAATGAAGCTTAAATACCCCCTAGTCATCAACTGATCTATGTCAATGTTTATTTAGCCAATCAACAAACACCTTACATGTTTGTGGTATAAGTCTCCAATCAAATAAGACGTCTCTTTGAGAATTTTTACATAACATTTTGTTTTGATGAATCTAATTGGTTGAGATATAAGTTTCATTAAGGGATTGTAAAGAAGTTTTCTACATTTTTTGTGTGTATCAAGGACACTTTTAATTTTCACCATTCCAATTTTCAATTAGACTTCTATGGTTCCTACAATTTCACTAAAACTAAGTGTTTAATGACGTCAATAATCACGAAGAACCTAAGGTGAAAAAGCATATTTTGTTATTAGTGATGTCATCAATTACTTATTTTTTGTGGAATTGCCGGAGGTCTGAATGAAAATTGGAATGGTGTAAATTGATGCTATCAGTGTCCCTGATACACATAAAAAATTAAAAAAAACCTCTTTACAATCCCTTTAACCTTAATGATACTGGATCAAAATTGTATTGCAAGTACCCACAGAAAAAAACAGAAAACAAAACTTGTATTTGAATCAGATTTGTAAGAATATCACTTTTTAATATTAAAAAAATATTATTCAAATAAAGACCTACCATCATTAAGTACACTTATTAACCATTTAAGAGCTGCTTTAGCTTTGACAGCTTTAGGAACTGCTGGTACACATAATTCTGATAACTTTACACTTAAAACTTTATTTTTACTTAATTGTTCCTCGAAGGCTTTACGATAGGCATCAACTGTTAGATATGTTTCTTCAGTTCTTTGTTTCTGTAGGTCAATCTGCAAATAATTTTGTTACCGATTCTTATAACTACTACTTGGTTTATGGATGTTGAAACTTTCTTGTTTTCTCTTCACAGATTAAGAGCAAACCATAGCAACAAATCTTTATTTGTGTGAATATTTTTAACCAACAGGTTTGATTCAAAGAGAGAATTTACATATAAATCTTTATTTCCCATAGACCTTTTTTCATGCCTCGTTTTTGCAACACTGAAAGCAAGGTTCATAACACAAATGACGTTATCCATTTATAAGATATGAATGAATAGCCTATATGACGTCACTAAACACCTGATCAACAGCAAGAAAATGGGCTAAAAACTGTCCTTTCTCAGAAATGTGTGAAGGTTAAATTCATCTGAAACTATCATTTAGTAGCTTAATCAATTCCAAATTTAATGATGTAAAATATGATTAGTTTTCAGTTAGTGGGATAGAAGAAAGAGGCTTTCAAGGTGACGATTTCACTTCATTGACCACGATGTTACCTTTGTTTGTTTGCTTTATGAGCCCCATTTTGGATCCAATATGGCTGATGCGTGAATAAGGTCTATACCAATGCGTACTAGAGAAGCTTCTTTAAAAATTCTAGTTGGTGATTCAGACTAATCTATATACTGTGCAAGCCATTGTTTTTGTCAAGGATTTTACCGTTTCCAGAATAACATATCCTTAGTATGGCCTCCATTTGAGATTTTTGGTATTTCAATTTGTATCAGGAAGTTAAAGAAGTACACTCATTTAAAGAGCAAAAAGATTGGGAACCCAAAAAATATATCAAATAATTGAATTATAAATACCTCTTCTCGAAGTTTAATTATATCACGTTTAAGACTAGCAGCAGCATGAGCACAACCACAAGGTTGAGGATCACTACCTCTACATCTACAGGCACCCAATACAGCCAACTGAAATTAAATACATTTATCAATACATGTTACTAAATCTTTATAATGAAACACCCAATACAGCCAACTGAAATCAAATACATTTATCAATACATCTTACTAAAACTTTGTAATGAAACAACCAATACAGCCAACTGAAATTAAATACATTTATCAATACATGTTACTAAAACTATGTAATGAAACACCCAATACAGCCAACTGAAATCAAATACATTTATCAATACATGTTACTAAAACTGTGTAACAATCAACAATAATCGTAATTGTTTTGTTTCTTGGTTCGGTTGTTGAATTTAAATATAGATATATAATGATATGAACAAAATTACCTCTGTGGCTGAAAAATTGCCATATTGATCTTCTGCTGACTGACTCTTGGATTTCTCATATTTCAACTTTTCTTTTACATCCATCAAGGCTAGGATTTCATCTCTTTCTCTACATAATGCTGCCATATTTAGAATGAGAAATAATTAGAAAACGGCACTTTATTTAACGGCGTTTTATTGGTTGAACTGAATTTCAGCTGAATGTAGCATTTATGAAGAAAAAACCTGTTACTTTCACCATTTGAAGCAGTTTTTTTTCTCATTTAGGTTAAAAAGCACAAATTACATATTCAGCATAAAAAGTGCTTTGATGGCTCAACTATAATTATTTTTAATTATAAATTCTTCAAATAATTTGCGATTTCTAGAACCTTTTAAAAACTTAAAAAATCAACCTCAGTTATTGATGCAAATTTATTCTGTATAAAATTGTTTAATAAATGAAATTACCCATATTCCTTGAATTTGATCGTCTTAACTCTTCCGACCTTGATTCCAAAGTTGACATCAATACTGCATTTTCTTGACACACTCTATGGTAAAAAAAAATTAATTTTAGATTTTAATTAAAAATAATTTTAAACCTAGAGCCTTAAACTTCATGGCACTGAAGCCGTGATATTAATAATAATATCAATATCTCAGCCTACTGTGTAACTTTGAATTTACTTTATCAAAATTTAATGAATAATACCTGAGACAAATTTAACTCTTCTCAACTGACAAAGTCTAATGAATCCGTCAAATTTGGGATATATATAAAACTTAATGTTTGAGTCAAATTACAGCATTTTCATAAATAGCTTAGGTCAAAGACATTAATTCTAAGTTCATTGATGGCTTATGTCATGCTGTAAAAACTCTTAAATTATCAAAATATTTAACGGAAAATTTTAAAAACTCATATCCAAATGGTTCGTTGTCAATATTTGTAACATTTTAAAGGGATTTAAAAAAGGTTTTAAGTGCATTGGGACACCTTTGACTTCTATGTGAGACATTCCAATTCTTCATCAATGGCTGTGGTTCCTGCAATTCCAGAAATAGTTAGCTGAAAATGAAGTAGCTCTCGCAAGAGAATTCATAACTATTATACCACCAGACCACAATAACATAATTATATATATTTTCTGCCCTTACAAGATGGCAGCATTTCTAACTAAAAATTGCTGACTCATTCACATTTTGCTTCACCGTTGCCTTATAAAACTCTTTACTACGTATTATATTACTTAGTTTTAACAGAATGGAAGAGTTGTATGATATTTTGTGAAAATCAGAGCACTAAATATCCTTATTTATGATAAAATAGCCAGTTTTGAATACAGTGAGGCAGACATTTTGTTATCCAATATTTCCTATGATTAGCCAATATTAAAATTTTGTGTTTTTGAGATAATTTTCTGCCAAATTTAGAAATATACAGCAACTCTCGACGGCCTCTAAAATCTTAAGGATCAAAGTCATTGGCAAGGTCTATCTGACGTCTGCAACTGGAACATTTTGAATTGCTACCGAATTTCTATGAAATGCGAATAAAAATTTAAGTTGATTAGTCAAAACTGAAATTTGGTGTGATCAATATATCAATCGACATCGAACCCTAGTTCATATATCACTGATATCTACTTTTTTTTTTACCTCCAATCAAAATACGTTTTGGATGTACCAGGGTGTGGATAAATACCTCAACTCAAGTAGATAAGGAATTTCTTTTTTTCCTTTTGTTAGATACATAAAGATAGTGGACCACAGCCAGATACGCCCACCACGGCATGCGGATGGTAAATATTCAAGGGCAATAACTCTGCTTCTAACGGTCGAAAATAGCTCACATTCGAACTTGATCTTCATTTATGAATATGTATACACATACCGGTACCGAATTTCATTTGATTCCATCAAAAAATCTAGTTTTTAGAACGTTTACAAGCAAATGTTGATGGACGGATCGACCGACAGACGGACAGGGGCGCCGACAATATACATCCACATAGAGAGATGTGGGCGTATAAAAAGGATAAATGCAAATGGACTCTCTACATATGGAGAAATGTGGACATTAAAATTAAAATAAATCTCACATTGCTGATAATAAAGACGGTAAAAAAAGGTAAATCCAATAAACGTTACAAGGTAAAACATTGATACTGATACCTGCAATAATCTTCATCAATTTCTTTAATATTAAATATTTTATTTTGTTGTTCTGTGATATCTGTATTAACCTCCACCTGTTCAACTAGAGTATAGGGTACCAACACCTCAAGATTATCTAACTGAATATAATAATATAGCATATAAAGGCACATATTCCTTTAGCAATGGTGAATATCTAATTAATATTATACACTGCATCTTCACAATGTCAAGATATTATGAACTTCCTCTTATACCTTGACTGCAATAGCCAATATTCTTATTTCACGGAATGCTGCAATTTGATTGAATTTGATTATAAAATACAGCCAATCAGAGCCCATGACATCAAGAATGTAAACATTATAGCTTTTAGTTTACAGACTTCTGTCAAGGGCTCCGATTGGCTGTATTCCGTATCGTACAATCTAATCAAATTGCTGCATTTACAAACTTCTGTGATATAAGAAAGGTGGTTATTGCAGTCAAGGTATAAGACAATATTTGTAATAGCTTGGCATTGTGAAGATGCATACACTGTTGCTAAAGGAACATGATAAAGCCTAATTTTCACCTATTTGAATAGTATCTAGTTGAAAAGGTCACCACTTTTTGATAATTACCAACATAATTGCCTTTTTTGTATAGATCATAAAAGCTCAGTAGTATTGAATTTGGTTTCAATTTTTTTTTACTCCTTGGCAATGAGCCTTTTGAATTAGTTTTCTAGTCCACATAGAGTGTAGGCATGCAAATGTTACTATCCAAATCATACATTATATTCCAAATAAAGCTTATTTATGTTTTCAAAAGCAAAAGTGACCATTTTCATCATAGATACCTTGAAATCCTTAGCTTAGCCTTTCCCGATATAAGAACGTCAATTCAAAATCATTTCTTCTTTGGGAAAATTAACTGCGAATGCAGACAGTGGAAACAGTCGCAGAGCCAAAGGGGGTTGGGGGGGCTCCGCCACTGAGTGGAAATGCAAGGACAATATGTTTGACAATATAACTTCTTTATACACAATTTAGTTTTATATTAAAATTTGTGTTAACTTGTGTAAAACTACAGTTTTAATCTGATAATTCTAAATAATTCAAGTATGTGGGCAAATCAGTTTATGAGAAATTCTGATAACTATATTTTGGAATGTTTCTAGAAGATGAATGATTAAGAATCTACAATTCAAATAAGCTGAAAATTCCATCACCATCCACAAGGCCTATTGAAGTTTCCACCTGCTATAAGCTTATAGAAATTTTAAACTAAAACAAACAAATAAGACTATTGAAGGGAGTTATAGCTATCAGTTTGATAGCTATAACTCCCTTCAATAACCAAATTTCTACAGATCTTCAATTTACATTGACAATAATACACAAATACTGAAGCGTTTTCTTTGCCATTTGCTTTTATCCTTTACAATGAAATCATACTCTTTTGCAACAAATTTGCTTAATAATTCAGCCCCCTTCCCCTCCAACATTATTTCATGCAATTCAAAGTGGACATGCAATTTTCTTAAGTTTCAAAGAATAATCCTTCAATCCAAAAGTCCATTATTAGTAAAGCCCTAATCCCACATGCCTGGACTGAGGCCCTAGAGTACTCCCGGACAGTATGTATACTGGGATTGTCCGTGTCTGATCCGTGGCTACTCCTTAAAAGACTGCAAAAATCTGTGCTGTCTGAGCTCGGCCCCGGATTTATATGATATGTCAAATAATTTTGTGTCGTCCAGGGTTGAACTGGGGAAGCTTAAATCCAGGTCTCAATTTCTTTGCCTTTGGCTACTCTGTGTCCTGTCCAGGACTGCGCTGGGGAGGTTTGAGTGTCATCGGTATGCACTGGGTGATTTTGTCATCCAGGACTGGTCCTGGACAAACTGGGAGTGGGCTGGGAATAGACCAGAGTGCAACATACGGCCATCGTCCGGGTCTACTCCTTGGCTTATCCAAGTCTTTTTGACATTTTTCTTGAGTAGTCTGGGATAAACCAGAGTGTTTTGTCTAGGGTTACACCAGGCTGAAGTCCAGGCATATGGGGCTGGGGCTTAAGAGTTAATGATTGACTACATACACATGCCATTCATGCCAATATTCAAGGAAATGCATTAACCTGATAAACTAAAAATAGATGATTCTTTCAATGCTGCACTTTCAATACTTTTCTGAACATTGAAGGGAAAAATTATTTAATAAAAAGTAGAAAGAGACGTAAAAAAATCAAGAAATGTTAAAAGAAATGAATTTAGGAAAAAAAAGAGAATCAAATGTCATAGATAAAATATTAAATGATAGGATTACATTTGAAAAGAATTCTTTTGCCATTAAAGCATGAAATGAAATATTATATTTTTTGCCAATGAGAAATTCCTGCTTGCTCAAATTAAACCCACAAATACAAAAACTTAATAAATAAGCTTATACAAGAGACACCAAGAGATTGATTTTCACCACAAAAAAAAAAGATTTACCTATCAAAGCGTTGTGCCCATAATTCTTGACTATCCATAAAAGATGATTCACGCCACTGTAGCTCAAAACTTAACTTATTCACTTCCTGCAAGTTAAGCAAACCACATGCACAAAATACAAGATATAGGACAGTGAGAAGATACAAAAGTTCAGATGCAATTTGTTAATCAAAGATCATACATATATTGAGGCAATACTTCTACAAACATGTCAATATCATTTCATTATAACAGCCTGTAGCAGCGATTGTCAACCTTCCAATAAAAAATTATCTGCTTTTTGTCTTAAATACAAAGGCATGTTTTCATTTTGGAAACTTCTGCTCTAACATGAAAAGTTATTGACAGCATAGATTAGATTCCAAGTATTAACCATTATGCAGGCACATAACAATTACCCTTGAAGTTAAGGATACATGCTTCATTCGAGGATTTTATAAATCAATGCAGTGTTATGGGGAAAAACTCAATATAATGTCATTTTAATAGTTTTAAAGATGGGTTTCTTTGTTTTTTAGTGTCAAAATAAGCAAACTATTTGATTAATTGGTTTTCCTAATGAATTATCATGTATTCTTAATCATATTATTATGTTCTAATTGCATATAATTTAGAGTTTTAACCAATCATAAATGTCCATGTATGTACACTCTGGATAAACAAAAAAATATTTTTTGACCTTTCTTCTTCGGTCACTCATTAGAATTCTGCTGTCTAATTTAGCTAATTATGAATTAATTATAGACATGTGAGACATGTGTTTTTTTCCAAGCCATTAGAACACCTCTACTTTCTATTCATATAAGTATTAACATTTTCATTTTCATAAATGAAAATAAGGGAACCCATCTTTAAGTATGTAAAGACATTCATTGAATAAAAACAATTAAAAGGAGAGTTTGCACCAATTGTTATTTTTCCCTTTTGTGCACAGATTCTAAAATAATCAATTTTGATATTAATGTCAAAAAGACATTTTATTGACTTTATTTCCTTCTACATTTTTCTGTATATTCAGAATTTGAATTTTTTTCACTATAAAATTCAGTTTCAACATTGCTGTTTAACTTTTATGGAGATATAAAAAATGTCGAAGGGAATAAGCAATTATTCAATCTTTAATAAACATCCATATTAAAATTAAGAAGAAATTTGTTGAAATTAGAATGCACAAAAACCACAGGAAATCATCAATGCAATATAAGCTGTTGTGAACAAAGGCATCGAAAAATTCTCCTACATACTCAAGGCTACAGCCAAGGCTAAAACTAAAACTATACCTTTGCTAGAATAGAATTATATTCTTTAGACATAAGAGAATTGTCTTCTACTTCTTCTCTGGCCTCCTCAGCCTAGAAATATAGAAAACACCATAAAATTTGTTTCACAAACCAGTAAAAATCCTACTGAAGAAATATCATGACATATAAGCTAACCATATATACCAAGGTATATGAATAGGTTTAAAACCCTGCACCTGCAGAGATGCGGAATGTTCCATTTAACAGTTCCTATTTTTTCTGTCTCTACACCAGCTGACATCTGTCCAAATAGCTATCAGAGGCTGGAATAGAGACAGATGTTTCGGTCGAAAACTGATAAAATGTAAAAGAATCATTAATGGTACCTGTCTTTTAAGTATCGCTATAGCTCTATATTTAGCATCTAGTCTCCTACGACATGTTTCTAGTTCGATTTTCAATTCTTCCACTTCCTGAAAATCAAAAAAAGAAATCATGGTAAAAACTGAGAGAATCCATCCATGATGGTTTGCTCTTTCTGATTTAGTGTCTAGTTAGACATCCTATCACTTGTCTAGTAGTGTCAAGTCTTTAAAATACATTTCTTTGATACCGGTAATAGTTGATGATTAATATCTAAGGATAAGCTTATAAGCTTATGTAATAAAATCTTACTGTGACGGCATCAACAAGTTTCTTTTCAATTTCACAGGTAGACAAACTTCTTCTTTGCCTTGTACAACCTGAAAATAAAGACCAATCATTTTCAACATATTAACTTACAAACAGACAAAAACACCTATAACACTTTGTATGTTAAATGATTAATTTGAATTTAAACTGAAAATCTGTAAGCTTACTATCTGTTACAGAAAATGTTCAACAAAGATATACGCATTTTAACCAATTTTCATGATTGTCCATCCATTCCATAATTATAATTCATAAATGAATTAATCGTATGACCAACTTACTTTTTCGATCTTTCTGACACTTATCGCTGTTGGTAGAAACAGTTAATACTGCTGGTTGATTATTTGTATGGTTACGCAAAATAGTGCCAAGATTTTGCTCAAACAGTTTCTTTTGTTGCCTCAGAGAAGTACCCAATGGAACATCAGCATATGATGGAAATTCTTCAGTTAAACCTGCACTTGATTGTGATTCACGTCTGCTATTTTCATGATCACAACAATCTGTTCCATTTGATTTGGATTTTTTTCTGGACGGACTTTGATAACTACAATGGACACAAGGCTGTGAAGTCTTGGACAGACTCTCATCCTCACACTTCGTGCAATTGCATGATAATGCCTCAAGTTTCAGCCCAGGAAGAGCGGTTTCTGAAGAATTGTTCAAATCATTTGCAAAACCATTCTTATCTGAATGCGGTAAACCACCAGGCTTCAAGCCTTCGCCCATTCCTAAATCTCCACAAATGATGCCATAAACATCTTCAACCCGATTAGACTCTCCTGACATGATTAAAATAGTTTACATCTGTGAAAAAATAAATTGGAAAGAAACCACTTAAGTTTTAGAATATATTTTTGTTTTGATGTCTATAAACCGGAAGTTCATGACTGCCATCGGAAATGATGTGACATCAGGCGATTCGTCTGTTTGCTTTTGTGATTTTTTTTCTGTAGACCTTACATTCTTGCAAGTATTTAACAAAACTCTTAACAACCCAAGCTCTCGTATGATATGATTTGAAACATAGTGTTGAGTAAACGAAATCGGTTCATAAAATGTCTTAAATAGACGAAATCAATGATTGAAGACCCACTGTTACGAAACGTCTCAGTACCTGTAAAGTAAGAGTTTCGTCCCTTAATTTGCATGCTCTAAAAATGTCGGGGGGTTCTATTCCAAGTAACTTCTTGAAGAATGTTCTAAATAATGGAATAGGACGATATGTTTGTCAAATGAAGAGAGTAACCTTTAAATTCTGTAAACAAAGAAACGACAGTCAAGGCACGAGGTATTAACTGGGCTAGAGAACCCTCGTGGCTTTATTCATCTGTTGACATGACAGGAATTATTTTGATAATATTAGCATTAATTGACAGTCAGTTGACAGAAACAGTGACTTGAGACCTGGGTAACAATGTAAAAATGCAACGATTTGATTTGATTGTACGCAAGTGAATACAGCCAATCAGAGCCCTCGACAATAAGACTAAACATAATGACTTTTTGTCTATGTTGTCTACTTTTTCATGTGATGTTGAGGACTCTAATTGGCTGTATTTGCCGATACTATTTCCAAACATCCAGATACAAAAAATAGCCTTAATGATCCACAGAATCATTCTATTTTTTTGCAATTATTATAATAGGCCTATATAAAGCTTATAGTATTCAATTCAAATCAAATTGACCAGCAATGTTGTAAAACATAATAGGCTACATTACCTTATATGCAAAGTATTGACTCTCACTGGCATATAATTTTTTCTATATTTCAGAGATTTTATAGAAAATCATCTTCTAGACTTTACCAATGCCCACCCTGGTGTTGTTGTGTATATTCAACCCAGAAATAACCGACCATCAAAAATTGTTGCTGAATACTGTAAGTTTATGTTGTAAATCATGATGAGTTTCATATCACATTCCCACTCATTTCACTGCATTGAATTTGTTTATTGAAAGTGAAAATTCATAGTTTCACTAACACTATCACATGTTATGTGTACCTGGTAGGAGATTTTGGACCAAAGAATTTGACTGCAATTTTACATTTTTTCCTCTTAATTTTTGTAAATGTTTAATTCTGCAGAAAAGAATATAAGGGAAATTTAGAATGTGATATAATCTGGTTCCATTCTGTTTGATTGAGGCCAGAAAAGACGGAACCTATCACCAATCAAGCACCACTCTACGTTCTAGTCTACCGGTAGTTAACATAGATATGATGACAGAACACTTATCATGCACCCAATGTAATTGACTTGTCTTGTATTTGTAGTAAATGGTAGAAGTGAAGGTATAGCTACTACCAAAATGCCACAAGAAGAAATATGTCAATGGTTAGAACACTTGAGAACACGATCTGGTGCTGAAATAGTTAGATTACGTAAAAATCATCATACAGATAATCCTTCTACTCAAGGAGTTTGGCATCCTTTCACAAATAAAGATACATCTTTAAATCTTGCCAAGTTTCCTGATAATGACTCTTATAAAGTGCCATCCACTGTGTCTACTACTGATAGACTTTTAGAAATGGGAAGAAAGTTACGTCAGGAGAAACTTAGTGAAAAATCATAAATTTGGATTTGTGTGTGTGGATGTGAAATTAGTATATAAAGCCAGAATTTTTTTTAAAAGTATATTGTATCTTATAGCTATTAGAAGTATAAATTCAGCAAATATGGGCAAGATTGTTAAATTGGATGTAATTCTTGAAATATTGATGATCAGAATAGTGGTATATAGTTATTCATATATATTTTCATGGGTCATTGTTACTCCATACAGCAGAGGTTTAACATCACTAATCATACCTCATTTTATACAAACAGAACTAAATTCTCTCATAGAGTGTATAACTGGGTTGTTGATAATATAAACTAATATATCTTTAGACATTATATGAAATGGTGTTATATATCTTCCTTAAGTGGCATTTAGTAATTGGACAATAAATAACTGAACACAATTATATGGATAACAATTACTTAATTTATTAAAGTAATTGTTATCTATATAATTGTGTCCAGTTATATGTTATATATCTTGTTTTCTGCTCCCCTCCCGATAGGGACTAATGAACATATAGGTAAGGTCATACAGAAATATGGCAGCATTGAAGCTTATTCTTTTGAATCCAATTACAGATATATCCTCTTTGTACTGAGAAGATATAATAAAGATGCATGAAAAAAAAAGTATTTAAAAAAAATTTATTAGCTATCTGTTGATATAAGCTTTTTAAAGTCAATATCATCAGGTACATCATTTACTACTGTATTTATATAATCTTTGAATCCCTTGGCTTTATAATCATCTATTCTTCTTTTCACCTGAAATATATAAACCAAATATCACATGGATAACTTGGATTCCTAAAGTATGCTACAACTATAATAGAATAAGTATTTGTTTCACAATAAACCTGTTTTTTGCTGAAATTCAACTTCAGTCTGATAGTAAAGATAAATTAATGCATTTATTGCATATGGATCATATTGTATTATAAGCTATGCAAATTTACCTTTTTCTGTTTGTATCCTTTATTTGTTGGTTTTAATTTATCCATAATATTAGAAGCTTGGAGATGTTTATATTCATTATACAATTCTTCGGGATTTCTAGAGAAAAAAAAGTTGACACATAAGATAAAATATGTTGCTTTAACAGTAATTGATGGTAAAATTTGAGGTCTTCAGAATCCACAGAAGTAAATGATGACCTAACACACAAGCAACAATATTGAATTTTTCAGAACATACAATAAAACATTAACTTAAGAACCTATTCATCTGTCAAACTATTGGATGTAGGAGTGGAAAATGAACGTAACAAATCTTAAGTGTCAAAGTCAAACAATTTTCATACACATAAGTGGGCTAAATTACTGAGGAACCATAGGACACTTACTTTCTGAGTAAATATGTAGGTAGTTGACCTGTACCAGTAGTAGGAGCTTGATATGATAAATGTCTAGCATATACTTTAACATCAGGATCATAGTGACGCTACAATATATATAATATACAGAATTCAGACAGATATAGATACAACCAAGCTTTTGTCAACAATGAATGATCACTGCAATGACATTGGTATAGTCGTGCAAAGAAAGGTATACACATCCAACATCTGTTTCAAAACGTAAACATGACCAGTCTACTTTATTTTGAGGTAGTTCATGTAGTAATCAACCCAACTTAAGCATAGCCTGTATAGCTTCTATTACTATTTTTTGCACCTGAAAATGAATTGAACTGTGTTCTGAATCATCGGACTCACTTGAGCAGAGATATGTGTACTTCAACTATAAGAAAATACATGGGGCACTCAATTGATGAGTTCTGCACATTCTGGATTCATGGAATCAACTAGGCATTCAATAAAACAAATTTGGACAGAGTTCAGAATGCATTCCATGTGTCCCAAAAAATAGTAGGTGCAGACAGAATTCAATATTGCAGTGAAAGGAATAGAAGGACAAATTTTGAATGTGACATTGATTCTGGCCAGTATTGGAACAGACGTAACCCGCCAATCAAGCACCACCATGGAGTCACCAATGAAACAGGGTAAAATATATATTATAATCATATACTTACACGTAATAATTGTACTTCCCACATCATAGTTGTATGTGCATTACAATATTCTGGTTCATCTAATTCTGGTAAGAATATACCACTACCTTGTGATTCATTATCATATAGATGATCTGAACATGAATAAGCCTACAATCAGATAGTGAACACATAAATATTAAACTGTCTGAATATAACAAAATAATCATTTTGCTCAATTTTGCTTGAAATAACTAAATTTCACAGTCTTTATCACTTTTTCAAATTTAAATCCAATGTCTGGTTTGTCTACAACTGAATAAAGATGTTGACAGTGCAAAAGAAAGATAAAAAGTATATGGAAAACTGAAACTGAGCTCTGGCAACTAGTAAGCCATCATGGACTATGTAAAAGTTTAAGTTTGTTGGAAAGAATGTGAGGTGATTAATTTTAAAAACTTACATGAAGAAATTGTTTGACAGCTGCCAGTAAACTTAAAGCACCATTAGGTAACTGTTGTAAACTTATACTACATAATCTTTTCATAAATGCCAAGACTTTTTGTTGAGATAACTGGAAATAAAACAGACGAAATAAATAAGATGAGAGACAGAAAAATGTCATGAAAACTCAACTGGAAGTCAAGTTAAGAGCAAAGTTTAGAAACTTAGGAAATTTTGCCCATTATAGTTGTTCCTTTATAAATCATTTTGAATTGGCTTTTTTCTGAAGTATGGTTAAACGTATTATCTTTATTGCTTGAAGTAATTGAACCTATATCAAATTTGCATTTGATTAATGTCAACAAGTAACCATTTTAAGACAAGCAGTGACTTTCCATGGCCAAAATTGAGAAGGTTAATATTTAAAATTATGAAATAACAAGTATTACCTACCTTACGTTTCTGCTTCATGATAATAATATACAGACATGGTAATATAATAGACATATCATTACTAGATGATCCACTATGAACTTGTAATAAACTGCTATATAAATGTCTATAAAATGTCATAGGATCTATGTTTAAAGCTGAACCTTGACCAGATAATATAGTAAAAGCTGATTGAACACAGTGTAATATCTCTCTATAACCTAAATCCTGTAATAAAATATAACCAAATAACAACTTATAAATTACCGTATAAAGATAAACTAATAATATTGTGATGGATTGCAGAATATATTTACTTGAGTTTAAAGTAAGACAACCTCATATTCTACGATAGATCTAATCTAATAAAAACAAGATTAGCCTAAAAGTTTTGACCACATCCAGTTCTTAATGATGTTCTTAATCAAAGCACAGTATGGTTTTTGATAACAATGAAAAACATATAAGATTTTTACATATTTAGCCAAAAATCACAAGTGGTCTTATAGAAATAAACTTTCAAGCCAAATAGATTTTATCACAGAAACTTGAGATAAAATAATGAATATACTTACTCCAGAATCTATTAACTTGTTTAAAACAATAAACAAATCATTGAAAAACTGGATATTGATCAGATGGGCAAATCTGAAAGTAAATCAATCAATAACTTGTTCATACAAGAAGCAGAATATTGTGACAATAAAAATATTTTATAACTGACTGATACAAGACATCAAACATCCTAAACAACTACCATAAAGTCATGGAAAATATGGATGCAGTTCAGTTGGCTATCAATGGATTACAAAACAGTATAAGTCATGTACAGCTAATAGAATATGGATCAATATGGCTATAGCTGTTTATTAATGATAATTTTTTATTTTAAAATATTTGGTGAAAAATAACAAGAAAGATGCCTAATTTAAGCATAAAATATAGATATAGATAACATCAACAATCTTACTTGGCTAATCCTTCTAACACAGCAGGTAATAGAGGTGAATTGGTAGCTGATTTTAATATTCGGAAATAGGTGTGAAATACTGTTTCTATTATTTCTGTATGCTGTAAAATATATGATTATTCTAGTAAATATAACTTCTATCAACATACACTCACACAAAAAAGACAACAGACAGTTTTACTTAATCACAATTTGCTCAGTCACTCTCTCTTGAAATAGTCTTTTCATATAAAAACATAAGTTTGCGGCAAGTCTCGCAAGCGAATACGCCCACCAGAGCTAAATGTGAACTGTAAAACAAACTCTATTTCGTAGCCTGTAGAGTGAGCATGAGCAAAAAATGTGAAAAAACAAGATATAAGAGTTTTATGCGATATCTCTCAAGAAAATCATCAGATCCTCACCAAATTCAATAGTGCACATCTTAATAATGATATTCACACACATACAAAAGATCAAATGAATGTATGGAGAATCGTAGCATGTGGAGTGAGCACAAGGCAAAAAAGTAAAGAAAAACGGAGTTTATTCTATAGTACACATCTTCATAATGATATTGACACATATACAAAAGATCAAAAGAATCTATAGAGAATTGTAGCCTGTAGAGTGAGCACGAGGTAAATGTGAATGGACGGACCGACAGGGGCAACCACAATATACGCCCATACTTGTGGGCGTATAAAAATCACAAATTGTCAACACTTACTAATTTTAATTTCTTATTTTTATCTTCTGTAGCTTTAGTTTCCAATAATTCATTTTCTAATACTCTCATTTTCTTCTTTCTCTACAAAAAAAACATCAAATAATTCAGATATCAAAATGTACTTAAGGGCAGATAACAGAAATCTTAACCTTTGAACCTTGAGTGTAAATGAAACATAACAACATATACCCTGAACTCCAAGTAATAAAAGTAAATGTGTATGATGTTAACATTATTTGACCTCATAAGTAATGGCTGCTCGGGTATATATTGTGTAATTCTGTGGCGGGTAAACCTGCAACTAGGGTTGAAAGCTTTAAGTAACTTTCTTAACCAATGCTACCATCAGCTCATCCCTGAACTAAGGTATCTTCTCTATAAAATTGGATGTAATCAGGCAAAAAATTAACTATGGAGCTGTGAATACACTATAAATAATAAAATACCTTTTTCTCTTTTCTAGACATTTCTTCAGCTTTCTTTTTTTCCTGTTTTGGAGCAGTTTCAGCTATTAACTTTTCTACATCAATAATACGTAAACTTAAATAAGTTTCTAAAACCTACAGAAATAACATGAAAAATGTTATTTAAAATTTACTCATAACTTTTAATCTTAAAATTTACTCTTACATTATTTTACAAACTTAAAAATTTGACCTGTTTTTAGTCATTTGTACTAGCTATTGCTAAAATAGCTTAAATCTTTCAAAGACAATATCATTGATAAACATAGTTCATTATGATGGTCAATTCAAATAGACTGTCCATCAGACCTTATTTCCTACAAACGTTTTTATAGCACAAGAGGAACTTTTATAAGGATATATATATATAAGATATATGATTTTGACATACCTTAGGTTGTATATTTGTAAAATCTTTTGATTTGATGAATTTACCAATTGCCCTTACAACCTATAATATCAAAATTAAAAGTTACATTAAAATATATAACTACATGTTGGGTTTATTTTTGTCTGTGTTCTTCTTCAGTTATTCTAGATGAGAATTTAATTGGTCATATCATATTCAAACTCAACATGACATTCTTAAGGATATCATCTGATTTAAACAATTACCATTACTCACCTCTAATGTGGATTCACCAAGTTTATCATTTTTAAAAACAGATACTATACATTCACATACATACGTTGATAACTGAAATAGAACAAGACATTAAATACCATAAATTGATATCTTTTAAAAAATTGAGATTTCCAATTCTAATAACTTTTTCTTCAAAAATGACGTCATGATTTCTGATTGTTTTATAACTACTGACTGATTTTCATTCAGACCTATAAAAAATATTGCTTTTAGAAGCTTTTGATATGACTTTATATACAGTAAAGTATTTCTATAACCTCACCCTCTGCAGACATTTGACAGAAAATTTGAATATTGCAAATAGAAGCTATAAATAACCATCTGCTAGTTTATGAAATCCTACCTCAGGTTTTTTATGGTTCAAGAAAGGTATAACAACTTGTATTAAATCTTTACGGTAATTAAAATGTGGATGTCTAGCTAACAGTCCAGCTAAACATTTAACAGATATTTCAAATAAACTCTGAAATATATACAATCCAAAACTTAGTTATACAGAATATACTGAAAACTAATTCAGTCAAATGATTTTCTCACCAATTGCTCTCTTGATTCCTTTTAGTTTTAAGATAGGGTTGATGAAAATCAAACTAGTATTGAAAACTAGATTGTACAATAACATTTGTCTGTTTAGGAGACCAGAAGGGAGTAACTATTACCTGTTTACAGATATCTGGTAATGCTTTTAAATGTTTATATTTACAATTCTTAAAACCTGAAATGGAAATAAAAACTGTAGTAGTAATCTAAAATAAATCTGAAGCTGAATTTGGCTTTAAAGAAAATCTTGCTTGAAATAATAAATCCATCAAAAAACCAACAGCACAGTCCCTTTCACTCAAGTAAATATAGGACAAAAAATAACGTCAGAGAAAACTTACGTCTAACTGCTATCTGTAAATGTTCTATGTAATGTTTATAATGAGCTAAAAATTGATTTTCATAATCCATTAATTTCTTGGTTTCTTTCTTCAACTAAAATTCAAAATCAATCAAATTTGAATTGAAGAAGATTATTTTGATTAAAGAAAACACAATGATTGCCTCATAACTTCTCTCCCAATATTTTAACAATATAAGTTGAGAGCCAGATATTCTAGCTATAAGTCTTATATTAAATATTTAAGAATACGGCCAAGCAACACATTCAAAATACCAATCATCACTCTTTGACTAGGTTTTGACTTTTGTCTATTTAAGAAGATCTACATAGCTAATAATGTAGATTTGAAATATTCAAGTTTAACTACATACTTACCATATGTTCTTTTTCATTATCAGCTAGTACACGTATTCTGTAACTTGGTATTAAATCTTTAAATATCTCTAATAATGATACTACTATTAATTTATGTACAGTACTAGATATATCACTACTTGATAACATTAAACGTAACTCTTTTAATTTCTTCAACTGAAATACACAATTCAATAAATCTTATAACCTTAACTGATATTATCAATTGATGTGAGAGGGTAGTGAGATCATTGTTTCAGACAAAACAAATGTTATATTTAGCAAAATCAGTAGGCCTACTGTTAAAAAGTCTAATCTGTCCAAATATGGCTGGTCTCATTGTCAGCTCTCAAGATATATTTTTGCCATCAAAACTTTTGACATTTCAGTCAAAGTCAAGATTAATCAAAATTGCACAAACCCTAAAAGCATTAGCAGAATAACCGAAATAAAAAATCAATTATCTTTTTTCTTTGGTAATTTTATTGGCCGGATTCCTTAGGGCCAGATATCAAATATCTACTAGCAGCCCTCGAGTATTGAATTCTGTCCCAGACTGTAAAATCACATGCTCAGTCAAATTGAGGTAATAACTGTAGTTCCTTTAATTGTGGGCTATATACAGTTTAAACTGAACATATTACTTACATTGTCCTCTGGATTAGCTAATATTGACCGACAATACGTTGCTATTTTTTCTTTCATTTCTGACAAAGTTCTCTTTCTCTTCACGTAAATTTCTACATTAGACATTGGAGGTAAATTTTCTTCTTGAATTTCTGGTTCAACTTCATCCTTTATTTCTTCAACAACTACAACAATAAACATAATCTTGATACACAAACCTTGTTGACATTGAGCACTAACCTGATGAGATTTTGCCAGAAAAACTTGCTTTCGGTCTGCGAGGGGGGCATCTGCCCCCTCTGGCTCTGCCACTGTGCACAAAATGAGTATCATTAGCAAACTCAGCCGAAACAATAGATCTGCAATATACTAACCTTTTACTGTCTTTGGTACAACTTGTTCTATAACCCTTCCTTTATCTTTAATTGGTAGAAGATGACGCATATCATTACCAGCAAATAGTTTTCTTGGTACTTGTTCATAATCTACACTTTCATCTTCATTATTTCTTTTCCTCTTACGTTTCTTAGTTTCTGTTGTGTTTAGACTGCAAATTAAATTCAAATTTTAAAGAACATTCTATCAATAAATAAAACCTTTAATAATCCAAAACACTTATAGATTAAACGTATTTATTTTTCACTTTCAGCTATCTGAATCACTTATCAGAAAATAAAAGCTAACATACAGTTCTGATGCGAGTCAGAGAACCAGTTATCAGATTTTAACTTTGAAGAGCAATATTGAAGAAAAGTACATCACTATAATCCAATTCTATTTAGTAATGGAGGCAACCAAAATTGCATAAAATTACAATGAAGCTCTCTAAAGCATGTGATGAAGAAGGAATGTACTCAGAGAAACTGTTTTTTTGCAATCAGTAAAGAACTAAAATGAAAGAAGATAGTAATATCAAAGTACCTGATTTGTGATAAGAAGGAAAAATCTCTTCCAGGTGTAGTGAAATATTTATAATCAGAATCTTCTACCATATTATCATCATGTCTCTCTTCTCCATCACTTTCTAATGTTTCATTGCGTTTAAATCTAGCTGGTTCTGTTCTAGTTATATTTCTCATAGACATGTCATTTTCTTTTCTCTTCTTCTTTACTTTACCTGCAATCAAAATATAAGTTTTCTATCAAATATCAATTACTTGGGATCATTTTGTTCTCAAATGAAAACTGCAGTTAAATGTAAGCTTACAATTTTTCCTCTTAACTTTGGACTAATGAGGACTGTGAGAACTGATTGGGCAATGTCATGTAATAACAACATCGAAGAGAAAAACAGCAGAAGACTCTTTGCTGATTTACAACTGTTAGTGCATATTTACAATACCACTCCTAAAAGTAGGAATTTGGAATGATAATGCAATTTTTGACTGACTGCACCTAAACTCCCAAATTAGAGAGTATGTATCTCAAGCCATTTTGATTGAATCAAATCTAAACACTGTATCACCCTCTGTATATAGAGCCACCTCAAATTTCAAATGCTTCAGACTTACCCTTCTTCAGTTTTCCCCTCTTTGATAATTTAGAATTTGTTTTGTTGTGGACTTTAGCTGATGTTTCTTTTTTAGATTTTGAACTTCCTTTACCTTTCATTTTACCCTAGTGAAAGAATTGTTTATATAATTACAGTGATAGATCTATAGCAAATAAAAGAAACATAATTTTTAGCTGCCCATAAATTGTTCAATATTTTCCCGCATTTAGTTATCTAACTATTTGAATTTACAGATTAGCTAAAAGTTGAGTTATGGAGCTTATTTCATCTACAATTTAAGGCATGCAGTCATCTAACTATTTGCTCTACAAGCTGTTGAGCTCAATTTCAGCTATCCATATCCTTTTTCAGACACAAAATCTGACAGCTGGTTTACCTACAATTTGTTTCGTAGTATTGCCCTGTCCTTGTAAGTGACAGTTCTTTCTAAATTGACATAGTGCATTATAGAATTAAACAGGAGATTTTTGCTCTGGAAAATACTAAGGATAGCTCAAATTGAGTTGTATCGGCTGGTAAAAATATAACAAGATGAGATTTTGTTTGGCTCCCGTTAATTCGCGCAATATAAATACATGTAACCTACCATTTTCGTAGATAACAAGATGAATTATTAATGCCCAATTATGTGTTTAAGACAAATCAATTAAATAAATTAATATCATTGCAAAATAAACTTTCTGTTGTGGAATAAATAAGATTTTGTTTTGTTTTCTCAGACACACGTGTGAAATTCAACCATTTTGAAAACCCTGCCATCTGGCAATTATTCTCCACAACAGGAAAAGATAACTCCTAATTTATAGGAGAAGTTAGTAAATAAAGTTTTTCATAGATAATATTGTTGGTTTCCTACAGTTAGTTCAGAAAATCATATCTCTTGAAAAGAAAAAGTGTTTCAAAATACTAAAATCAGAATATGTTACAAACACCCAAAGAGAATTGTAATCTTTATAACAAATTTGACCAATATTCAGAAATCAAACCAATAACTTCTCAGAAAATGGCGGCTTCAGAATAAAGAATTTGTAAAGAAATAAAAATATATTGATTCCAGGATTAACCAATATTTGTCAGAAATGCCAGTCAGTGAAATGGAGAATCCAATTCAACCTCCTAGTGCTGATGCGACCGACCAATCTCAAAACAGTCAGGACAGTGAAATGTCGGCGAATGACAATGCATCGAATGCTTCAACTGAAACACCACCTTGTTATTGTGAAAAACCAAGGGTTATTGGTTCACCAGAGATCCAGTGCAGTATATGTCTAAGATGGTTCCACGTTGATTGTGTGAATGCCAATTTCAATGGCGCTTGTCTCCCTTTCATTACAAATTACCAGTTCTGTTGTAAACTATGCAGTCCAACAGCTATTGATAAATTTCAACGGAAACAAGCCAGTTTCAGTCAGATATCTTTGACAGCGCTAGCAAATTTAACACACGAGAGTACTACTAAGGGTGAATCTGTAACAATGTTCTCTAAAGACAAAGACATTATACCATTTATAGACAAAAATTGGGAGAGTATAACAATACTGTCCAGACGAACAAAATCAACTTGGCATAATACTGTTTTAAAAACATTAACAAAGGAAACAGAATTATTCCAATCGGACAAAACAGGAGAGAACTTTGGTCTTGTTAATCAAGATCTATCCAAGATTGCCCCAAATTATGAAAGTGATAAAGGCAAGGGCACTGGAGTTAGTTTGACGGAAACCAAAACAAGAAATGCCAAACGAAAGGCCCCATTTGATAACATTCAAATTACTGGTGCTAAACAGAAGAAAAGTGACATTGGTGTGTCTAACAAACTGATGTCTCATGGTTACCCATTAGAGCATCCATTTAATAAAGATGGTTATAGATATATTTTGGCTGAATCAGATCCTCATGCTGCCAACAGACAGGCCTATGATGACAACCAAGAGTGGGCTGGTAAACCTATACCAGGATACTTATACAGAACATGTTTAGCCAATCAAGTTCTATTGGCGTTGCATGACCGCGCTCCACAACTGAAAGTGTCTGATGATAGATTGAATGTTACTGGTGAAAAGGGTTACTGTATGATTAGGGCCAGTCATGGTGTAAGATATGGAGGCTGGTATTTTGAAGCTACTATAGAGGAAATGCCACAGGACTCAGCTGTCAGAATTGGATGGTCTCAATCTCTAGGAAATCTACAAGCACCATGTGGCTATGATAAATTCAGCTACTCCTGGCGTTCAAGAAAAGGTACCGTATTTCACCAAAGTCGTGGCAAACATTACAGCAATGGATATGAAGAAGGAGATGTAGTTGGATTTTATATTGAACTTCCTAAACCTGAGGATCCTGGCAAACTGTTGAATACAACTTATAAAGATAGACCATTAGTTAAATTTAAAAGTCATTTATACTATGAGGACAAAGATAATGTTTCAGAATCTGAGAAAAGTTTAAAACCACATTATGGAAGTAAATTGATAATGTTTAAGAATGGTAAGAATCAGGGAGTTGCTCATCAAGACTTGTATGAAGGCAATTACTTTCCAGCTGTGTCCCTTTACAAAAGCATTGTTGTTAATATGAATTTTGGTCCAGATTTCAAATGTCCTCCTGAAGGCTTAGAAGATTATCGACCAATGTCAGATGCAGCTTTTCAAAGCATTGTGGATAGTTCTGTTGCTGATATATTGTTCCACGTAGAAAATGAAGGCAAATTGCCTGAATTTTAGTGGCTATATTGTGCTTGTTTTTAAAGAGGTTTTCTTAAAAAAATATGTGTATTGGAGATACTAAAAGCATCAATTTGCACCATTCTAATTTTCAAACAGAAATTGGTTCCTGCAATTCCACTAAAACTAAGATTTTTGACGTCATTAATAACAAAGGCCCTCCATAACAATGTAATAAAGCATATTTTGCAATTAGGGACCTTATCAAACACTTAGTTTTAGTGGAATTGTAGAAATCACAGACGTCTGACTGAAATTTGGAAGGGTGCAAATTGATGCTCTCAGTGTCCCCCATACACGTAACAATTTTATAATACCTCTTTAGAATCACTTTAACGCTGCAAATATTGTTCTATTGTCATAAGACTTAGTTTGTTAATGTATAATGTTATTCATGTCATTATATTTTTCTACAACATATAAAAACTTTCATAGTGATATATGGTCTTTTATAGTGTATTAAAATGGGCTTCAGCCTTAGCAGTATTATAAACCACAGAGAAAGATATGCTCTTTATGATCAGTGTGGTCGTGGAAAAGTTTGTGGGTGTCCTGTTGCTGCCCCTAAATTATACTTAGGGCTAATCCACACTACAGGCAGAGCTGAACAGACTGGTCGGGGGATCACAATTAAGCAGAGCATTGTCCAGGCAACGATAGAACGATACACAACAGGACTCTTGCTCCCTAACCTGAGCAGCCAGGGTTTAATCCCGCCATAGGTCGAGATAATAACTTCTGATGTTACGACCCCTTGTCAGTGTAACTGGTCGGTGTTCCACAGGCTTTGCATGTTAAACAATCGTTCACAGGTGGAAATCGAAAAAGAGATACCCGTCTTCATTAGTCCTTTGGTTGCAGAAAAAAAGATGTAAAATGTCCTTTTCAGGTGTAAATTTTCCTAACAGTCTTCAAAAAGACGTTTTCAAATGAAATTTAGGAACATATAACTTTAACTGACCTGTGTTATTTCATTAAGATTTCAAATGTTAAACAAAAGCTTACATAAGATTATTTTATCTTATTAATTACTATTTTCTCTTTTGAGGTAAATGACTATTTGTAAATATTCTGTTTCGCTCAACTTAAACATGTACTGGGAATATTTATAATAGGCAAACAAATTGAACACAAGTGAAGAGGTAATATAATCTATTAATGGTATTACAAGTACTTGCTTCATCATATTGACCTTCATCTTCACATATCAAGCTATTATGAACTTATACCTTGTCTGCAATAGCCACCTTTATTGTTTCATGGAAATTTGTAAATGCAGCGATTTGATTGGATTATACGCTTATACCTTGAATATAATGGGCTATTTTATATATCATAGATTGCAGCGATTTGATTGGATTATACGCTAATACCTTGAATTTAATGGGCTCTTTTATATATCATTGAATGCAGCGAGTTGATTGGATTGTATGTTAGCAAATACAGCCCATAAGAGCCCTCGACAGAAAGCGTACAAACCACAAGCCAATAATATTTACAGAATTTCTGTCTAAGATTCTCATGGGCTGTATTCACTAGCGTAAAATCCAACAAGTCGTTTCATTCCGTGATACAAGAAACGTGCTTATTGCAAATCAAGGTATTTGGCGAAGTTTGAAATTGCTTGATATTGTGAAGATGATTGGCCATGGACTGAGAGATTTCAAGGTTCTCAAAAGACTAGCCATATCCAGTTTTAATCTAATAATCTTAATTATTGCGTATATGTCTGATCTTACGTCTTATAACTTTCAGACATTGTCCCATGTAGCTACACGAAACTTGTGTTGACGACCTACAACAGTTTCTAATACTCAGGTCGACTTCATTTGTCACGATCTTGATTGATGATTTGGTATTTTGCATTATGAGCTTGTGATGATCGTGTCATACCAAAGATGATACTCAGATATCCAAATGGTCTCGAGATGACATGAAAATAGCAAATGACATTCCAATATGATCTGGTGACATTCTAAGATGAACTGTTACATTTCAAAATGAACTGGGTACATTTCAAGATGATCTGGTAACTTTCCAAGATGATCTGGTGACATTTCCAAGATGAACTGGTGACATTCCAAGATGAACTGGTGACATTCCAAGATGAACTGGTGACATTCCAAGGTGATCTGCAGATGAAATTATAAGATAAACTGATTACATTTTAAGACGATCTGTGTGACATTCCAAGATGAACTGGTGACATTCCAAGATGACCTGGTTACATTTCAAGGTGATCTGGTGACATTCCAAAATGAACTGGTTACATTTCAAGATTAACTGCAGGTGAAATTCCAAGATTATCTGGTGACATTTCAAGATGAACGGGTGACATTTCAAGATGAACTGGTTACATTTCAAGATGATTTGGTGGCATTCCAAGATGATCTAATGACATTCCAAGATGACCTGGTTACACTTCAAGGTGATCTGGTGACATTCCAAGATGAACTGGTTACATTTCAAGATTAACTGCAGGTGAAATTCTAAGATGAACTGGTTACATTTCAAGATGAACTGGTGACATTCCAAGATGAACTGGTTACATTTCAAGATGAACTGGTGACATTCCAAGATGATCTGGTTACATTTCAAACTGATCTGGTGACATTCCACGGTGAACTGGTTACATTTCAAGATGAACTGCAGGTGAAATTCTAAGATAATCTAGTGACATTTCAAGATGATCTGGTTACATTTCAAGATGAACTGGTTACATTTCAAGATTAACTGCAGGATTAATTCTAAGATGATCTCGTGTTATCGAAGATGATTTTATGATATTTTTTAGGATTTTAAATGGACATCAGAAATCTGACACGTTCTAATCCGCTGTCAGAGCTGTGACACCCACCTTGGTCACATAGGTCAATTGTCGATCTGCCATCACAATAATATGCACCCAGGGAATGATTGCTAGTGAAGGTCTCCATGGACGCAGTTTATCGTCAAGGATCTCCCTGCAACGCTTGAATTCCACACCCTACTTCTGAATGCTTGAAACGGAAATCATCTGCTTAAGTTGAGATCCTATCAAAATGTATCTGTGACGGCGTGAGCCGTTTTAGTTGCTGATACTTGATGGTGATTTCAATTGATGATAATGGATGAATAAACAGATTCACTAGTACAGCGACAATGATAACTCTACAATTTCAGTTCTTATGTCTATGATTCAGGATTATAACCATTCAGCCAACGTTGTACACTATATCCTACCAAAATACCCTGATCCAGAAATGCTTATGGATTGTATTATTTGACACATTAGTCATCTATGATTGTTCAATATTTGGCCCCATTGAGTCAAGATATTTATTGGTATATATAAAAGGTTATTAAATCCATTTAAGTGAACACAAAGCCACCTTCATCGTTAAAACCACGCCCCTTACCAATAAATGGGTGGGGCCGTAGTTCATTTTTTAAAAAACCAAACCGACATTTTTTATGAGAGAGACTGCCCATATTCATATATTAATCACAAGTTTCACTCATATTTACAAAACAAAACGTAAAGATGTCTAATACAAGAGTGTTGATTGGCTGTTTGACCATCATGTGGCATCATTAATAAATATTTGCTCCTTAATACGGGATGTATCCGACAAAGTGAAACACGGTAGAAATACATTATAATTATGTTATCGTTGTAGATGATGCCTTATACAAATTTATTAAAACAATATATTGTAATGAATGCTTCCAACGATTCTCCTTATATGGTAGGTTACTATTTCTGATTTAGCAAATGAGAATGCCGGGCCAATTCCAAGATTGAAATTAATATTTTAGGACAAATGTCTTCTATAAAGAATAAAGATGCCATGCGTAAAGTTCGATATATATATTTTTGTGAGGTAGAAAAAGGATCAAGTTTTTGTTGTATGAGTGTACGATTCTTTAAGTAAACAAGTTTTGGCAGTTCATTTTAAGTGTTGTTTAAATAAAATAGAAAGCCAAACAGCAAACATTATAGACGATTTTTCCTAAATTCAGTGCACACATTTTTTTCGACAGCACTTTGAATTGAATCTTTTTTTTCTAGTGATTTTGTTTTAATACAATTTAATTTATAGTAGTTAACGTGTTTTCACCGCTGACTAACGGACGAGTCACTCATGGATAATGAAATGAAACACCATAAATCTTCTTAAATTATTCTATAAAAAGGCCAATCCGCCTATTTTTTTTTCACTATAAGTCTATGGGAAATTTTAATTTCTATAAGCTCTTCCTACATTTACCGTTATAGTACTAGCGATATGGATACGGGTAATCAGGTAAGGACAATACAATTATTAAATTGATTAGAAACTGTTAAGCATCAAATTCATAAAAAAAATATAATGCATGCATGGTTTTACAATTCTTTTTATAAGATTTCGGTATATTTTGTGGTAAAAATTTTGTGGTCATATTTCAAAATGAAGTCGATAAACCTAGAAAGAGATAATTTTTAGAAAATGGTATTCGTTCCAAATTATTTTTTCTAATCGGTGTCGTAGAGGCCTTGACTGCTTAGGGCCCTCGGGACGCCATTACAACACCAATGCCTACATTACAAAATGCTTTTTCGTTGATGCTAGTTTAGTAGCAATCTACTCTCTGAAATATAGCCCATTTGTAAGAACATCTACCAAATTATCACTTCAGGATGGGTACATCAACAGCGGTTTTACCTCAAATGAGACAAATGGCCATGTTAAATCAGATTCACAATACACAGAAAAGGAATCCACAGGAGAGGCAGATGACCAGAAAATTGATATCGAACTCGCGCCGATAGATCCATGGGAACTTCCGGAATTAGTTGATAAAAGTGTAAAATGGAGAGGTAATACGCTGGAACCGATTGCACATTTATCATCATGACAGGAAATGTAGAATTCGCCTTTATAATCAACACTTGTGACGTCATAACTCCCCAAATTTCAACTGATCATTTTAGCATTAATGCTGTCTTGAAGAAAGTGTTCATGAGCATTAAAATGAAATATTACGAACCACATATAGCAAGTCTACAAAACTGAAGGAATTCGTGCGGTACATTATGTCAAAAACCTTAATGGATCATGGATTATTCAATATTGGAATGACAAATCAGGTGTCAAAGTTTTCTTAGGAGGGGGGCCCTCTAGCTACGGGCCTTGGTCTGTGCTTCTATAGGAGAGTGTATTCTATGACACCCCGTTCCCGAAATTATAGCTTTGTAATTTTTATACTTATAGACCAAAATTGTGTTTTCAGATTTGGATGGTTTTGGTAAAGTTAAGAGAGTATTGACGTTGTTTATTAAATTCGTCATCCTGCTTTGTTTACTGTATTTGTTTATCTGTTCGTTAGATTTTATGAGCTCTGCATTTACTTTGGTTGGAGGTTGGTATTGTTTAGTTCCTTCTGTAAACGCTACCATCAAAATACAATAAAGATTAAATAGTAGCTCGTCACAAATCGATTGGTATCTTCTTATTGTCTATGGGATGATGCAGGTCGGAGAAGCTGACATGGAAAAAGTGTTATTGTTTGGGACTATCAAGCGAAATCCCACGTGTCCCTTGCACTTTGAAGATCCCGTGGCAGTACCAATCCAAAAAGAAGGTTTCTGATCCTATTGGGACAAAACATACTTGCTTGTACTCTATATAACGTTGCTCGTCTTCTGACCTGTTGCCATTTATAGGTAAAGCTGCTGGTGAAGCTTTAGGTAATAGTGAACTGTTACAGAATCCAATAGCTGGTTTAATGCTGGGTGTATTAGTTACAGTATTGGTTCAGAGTTCTTCTACATCCACTTCAATAGTTGTATCAATGGTTTCTTCTGGCAGTAAGTCTTTCTTTAAGATTCTGGCCAATGGTAGCAAAAAAAGGTCAAACATCTTCTAGTTGCTAGTATATACCATTGGAGTGAAGTGGTGTTCTATTGTTAGTGCCATCCAGTTGATACATATTATCGTGACTTGATCTTGATGAAGCTGAAATCGTGACACCGTGGCGCAGATCGCGTTGGAAACACTGAACAACGCAATATGGTTAGTTCCCATCACATTTTGAGGTTAATATATAAATCATGATATGCGTGTATAATAGCGTTCCAGGCGCTCAAATTTTCAAAATTTTCTGGGATGAGGGAAGGGGGAGTCTTTTCCCGAGTTTCCTATGTTCCTTAAGCAACGGTAGATTGATATATTATACAATCAGATTATGGAATATAGCGTTTCCGTGGATTCGTATAAGGGGAAAAACTAAGGGATTACTACAGCTGGTCTTCGCCACCTTTATCATTGGATCTACGCCCCTGCATGACACAGTTTTAGTCACAACGATGGAAGAAACAGCTACATAAGGATGAATCGGGTTTGGTCCCGATATATATTTAAGTCCTTTTAAGAAAATCTTTGGTCATTTCAGTACTACCAGTAAAATTTGCTATACCTATTATATTTGGTACTAACATCGGAACTACCGTTACCAATGTTATTGTTTCACTTGGTCAAGTTGGTCACAGAGAACAGTTCAGGTAAAGAGACACTTTATACAATCATGTGGCTATCTGACGATATCATGGTGTCTTGTGATCTTCTTTAGATATATTAAAACTGCATAGAGCTGTGAATTGGACCTTCATGAAACAGTGGGATCTTTACATGTTCTTGGAATGAATTTTTTTTTTGAGCATTCTGGATTGCTTCTCCCAAATCTATTCGCATCTTAATTACCACTTTTTAATTTCAGACGGGCGTTTGCTGGAGCAACACTTCACGACTTCTTCAATTGGTTTTCAGTAATAGTGTTTTTACCACTGGAAATAGCTAGTGGTTATTTATTTCATCTAACAGAATTGATTGTATCTGGTATAAGTAATGATCCTGATGCGGAGAATCCCGAATTCCTTAAAGCTATAACTTCACCATTTACTTCCACTATCATAGAGGTAAATAGAATCGAATAGAATAGAATAGAATAGAATAGAATAGAATAGAATAGAATAGAATAGAATAGAATAGAATAGAATAGAATAGAATAGAATAGAATAGAATAGAATCTTGAAATAAAGTAAGCTTCATGTAATAAAAGTGCCTATTTTGACAAAAGAACAATAATTTGAAAGAATCATGGTTACATATTCACATTTGGGCCAGCAAGTTCGAATAACATCTGAAGGGATTGAAAACAGCGAGACCAATTAGTATATAAGGTTGTATAACACTCAATAGGTCATGTTTTTTGACTCAAGAATGAGAGCACAGATCAGATTGTTAACCTTTCATCTAAACATACGTCAAAGAAGTGTCACAAACCCTTGAAGAACACTTCAGATTGTCTTTATATTGACCATCATATAAATCTATATTTGACTGATTTCAATGATTGATACTATAATCAAATATAGTCATCTAACGGGTAGGGTCCAATCTTGTCAGGGTACAATACGAGGTTCTGAATTTATGGTCCACCGTGAGGTTAATTAACTCTGGTGTTGGTCAGATCAAACGGATCTAGTCAATATGGGTACAAGTCTTAATGACATTATTAAATTCCTTAAGAGGGATTGTTTTAGACCCTTTGATATGATAGTTGAAAGCTTGAAACCACATCTCTGAGGTAGAAAATGTATGGTCAACCTTAGGGTCCATTGACATAAAATTCCCACAGAGCGATTGTTTTTGGCCCTGATAGATGAAGCTTGATTCAAAAGGGTTCAAGAGGGAATGGGGAAAACCTTTTTGTAATCCTATTAAACCCGCTATGTTCTTACGGCAAATCCCTTTCAATGGTCTTTACCATTAGGGCATACACTATACATTATAACACTATGTATTTCTATCCCAACAGTTAGATAAAGATATCATTAATGCTATTGCTAAAGGAGAAGAATTATCTGATGATGATACTATATTAAAGAGATGCTGTCTCAAAGATACCGACTATGGATATGCTTTTCTCAACAAAACAGTAACGGGTGAGCACTTAATTATTTCCCTTGTCGGAATGACTACTGTTACTCTGGAATATATCTTCACAGTTGCAAACTATCACAATCTACGTCCAATACCTTGATACAACGAACGTTTTTGAATGCAGCGATTTGATTTGTTTATACATTAACGAACACAGGCAATCGGGGCTTCGACACGCATAGCCATATTCCGTAGGTCCACATTCTTTCTGGCAGGGTTCTGATTATCTGTATTTGCTAGAGTACAATCAATCAAATCGTTGCATTTACAAATTTCCGTGATACAAGAGTGCCTAATGATGTCAAGGTATTAGACGTAGTTTGCAATATACCAAACACACGAATGAATATACATTTCGTCTGTATTGCTCCAAACTGTTTTAAACCAAATGATTTTCTATTTCAGATTGTACAAAGTCAAATATTGTTGAATGTGATGCTGATACAGGGTTTGCCCTAGTGAATACAACTGTTCACAACTCGACATGTTATAAGCTATGTGAGTAAGCTTTTTAGTACTTTTTTCTAGCAGTGTAAATCTGATCCAAAACACACCTCGTCATTTTATATTCTTTAGCATCTTGTGTTGACTCTACTTTTGCAAAGTTGTCTTTTTCATCAACATAAAGGGATTGTAAAGAGGTTTTCTATTTTTTTTTTATGTGTATCTGGGACACTGACAGCATCGCTTTGCACCATTCCAATTTTCAATCAGACGTCTGTGGTTCCCGAAACTCCACTAAAACTATGTGTTTGATGACGTCACGAATCGCAAAATATGTTGTATCACATAAGACCCTTCGCAATTAGTGACGTCATCAAAAAACTTAGTTTTAGTAGAATTGTAGGAAACACAGACGTCTGATTTAAAATTGCAATGGCGCAAATTGATACTGTGGGTGTCCTCGATGCATATGAAAAAAAAATTAGAAAACCTTTTTACAATCCCTTTAAGTTTGGTAATGGCGATCTGTTGTACATTTTCTCTAATGGGCTTAATCGTCCTAAATTGATAATTTTTGATTATTTAGATTTTTTTTCCATTTCAGGTGATCATCTATTTGTGCATACATCTTTAAACGATACAGAAATCGGTATCATAATGTTAGTTGTTGCCTTACTGACACTGTGTATATGTCTTCTACTTATCGTCAAGCTCTTACATTCTTTAATGACGGGGCAAATCGCCAAAGTCATTAAGAAAGTTATGAACTCTAAATTCCCTGGTAGACTGAGCTTTTTAACTGGGTACGTTGCTATGATGGTTGGCGCAGGATTAACTATTCTTGTACAGAGCAGTTCAATCTTTACATCAACAATGACGCCATTGGTGGGAGTGGGCGTTGTAAGCATCGAGAATCTTTTCCCGCTTACAGTGGGGTCAAATCTGGGAACAACTGCAACAAGTGTCTTAGCTGCGTTAGCTGCTCCTGCTGCGGGCTTCAGAGACGCCTTGCAGATTTCATTTTGTCACATGTTTTTCAATATATCTGGTATTTTAGTATGGTATGCGATTCCACCATGTAGGCGAATTCCAATCAAAACCGCCAAATGGATGGGGGAAACCACAGAACAGTATCGCTGGTTCGCTTTTGTGTATTTAATTCTAGCTTTTCTACTATTCCCTGTATTTGTATTTGGGTTATCTTTGGGTGGCTGGCAAGTTCTCGTAGGAGTTGGAACTCCTCTTCTGTTACTTATAATATTTGTAATCATTGTAAATATTTTACAAGCTAAAAAACCAAGTATTTTGCCCTCGAAACTTCAGAACTGGCAATTTCTTCCCGAACCTTTAAGATCATTAGAACCATATGACCGTATAGTAGTTAGATTGAGGACAAAGTTTCATAAAAAGAGCGAGAAAGAGAAAGAAGAAGAGAAAATAAAAGAAGAAGACAAAATAAGAGAAGAAGAAAAAATGAAAGAAGAAAGATTGAATAACGATGTAATTGTACATACAAGTAGATTGTAAAATATAAACTCAGGATAACGCCAATGGACATTAGCATATTGGCCTCTAAAGTCTTCCATATAAATAGTTCACCGTTTTTTTAATAATAATACACGTTGTCAAATAAAATTTTATACGGTAGTACATTACCATCTTCACAATGTCAAGCTATAACAAACTCTGTCTAATACCTTGACATAATTATGCACTTTTCTTGTAATACAGATGTTTGTAAATTCAGTAATTAGATTGGATTGTAAGCTTATAGCCAATCGGGTGTATGGCTGTATACATTTGAGTACGATCCAATCATAACAAAAGATGTCAAGGTATAAGTCTTGAAATTGTGAAGATGATATCATCATGGAAACAAACTGATTATATCTCTGACCCTCTTTAATTTCTATTCCCAGTTCTGTTTGGGAAAGACAGTTTTATGATATTTTGTTAAAGATAGTGTAGATAACTGTAAATAAATCTATAATATATTCAATAATTTTTTCTTGCAAATGTGTCAGCATAACGTGTCAATCTGGTTTAAAGTTTTGAACAATGATCGATCACAATATTTCACAAGATGATGAGGGTGAGGGAAAAAAATGACTATTTAACACGATATCCATATCTGGATAGTTAATGTAAAACGCTCCTAAGCGTGTTTCAAAATTACTTTGTTTAATGGATTAATACTTAGTTTTTATGGATGTTGTTTAGTTTTGACACCAGGTAAGTCCATTGATGAAAAAAGACTCATTTTAACAAGAGAAGATCATTCGGAAATTTTCAAAAGATCTAACGAATACCGCCTCTCACACATCTTATCAGCTTAATATAAGGAACTTCGAAATTTTAAAGAGAAGACTCTCTGTCTAGACCTCCCACCTTTGATTGAATAATACATAAGGACTACAATGTCAAAAATGTCAATTTGGGTCGACTATATTATACCCCTTGGCTGTAAGAAATTTTGGTTTTAGGTTGAAAACCAGTGTTGCAAATCCATGTCTTATTCTACGCAATGTTTTACAAATTCTTTCTTTACGCGCAAGTTTATTTTCATGTTTGAGCATGCGCATTTCGCTTAGTGACGTTATTATTTACAATATGGTGGACAAAGTTGTTATTATTTATCACCGGAACGATTAATTTACTGTAAATCATTTCAAGATTACACTCGTAAGTATGTTTTTTCCGAAATTATCAATATTCAAAACGTGATTGACGAAATTGCCAATGCATTTTATATTTAATTAGTAAAGGTAGGCCTACTGTCCCACAGCAATGACAATATTATGAATTCACAGAATCGTATTGAATCGAATGACATATGAATATGGGCCTGGATCTAGTTATAGATCTATTTCTCTGGAACAGAAGAAATTCTAAGATAAATAGCATGCACATGATAATTATTTGATTATTTGTGAATTGAGAGAAAGAAAAACAGCTTACTATAGTCTGGGAATCTAGAGACTAGTACAGTAGAGATCTAGTCTCAGTTGATCGTCATCAAGCTACACAGGTAGACTATGCCTGTTTTAAGGAGTGATATTATATTGTTTATAGGCCCTAATAAATGTTTGTCTGTTTTTCACAATTATGCAAGATTTATATTATATTTGGCATAGCATAGATCATAGACAGTTAACATCATAAATAATAAGCTTATTTATATTTCAGGTAAACTCAAGATGTCACGGGCCCAGGCTGAGAGTGTTATAAAGAATATCATTCGAGAAATAGCTCAAGAATGTGCTAGTAAAGGTCAAGCTGTATCTGAAACACTGGTAGCGTTTATGGTGAAAGCAGTTGTATTGAATCCTGCAAATGAATTCAACGTCGACAGAACCCTCACTAAGGATGATGTTCAAAAGCTTATTAAACTCTGTGTTGAACAACTTCTTGATACGCGGTCACCAGCCTTAGACACTGTTAAAATGCAGGTTTATTTTGATATGAATTACACCACCAGATCAGACTTCTTAGATGAACACAGAAGAGTTCTAGAATCACGTCTGCAACCAGTGATAAGGGAGATAACTGATAGTAGAGCAAGAACGAGAGAAGAGTTAGAATCTTTGTATAGAAAAATAGTTTCAGCTGTATTATTACGTTCTGGTTTAGGAAGTCCCACTGATATTGCAGTTGTTAGAGAAGCCACTGCAGCATTACAGAGTGTCTTCCCTCAAACAGAATTAGGAACATTCATGTCTTTATCAAAACGAGACAAAGAGCGTCAGATTCTTGAGCTAACTATGATAGTTACTGGTATTCGACTCTTCAATAAAGAATGTGGAAAAGGTGGTGAAGGTATTGATGATTTACCAGCCATTTTGAATGAAGCCGTTCCTGCCACAACCCAGAGTGTGGATACAGAAATACAAGCTACATTACAGCACACCTATAAATACACTACTTTGTTAGAGAAAGCCAATGCTGGTGAACGACTTGAAGGCTTATCATTACAGTTGGTCAGAGAATCTCTTATAAATGGACGTCAGCATGAAGCTTTCTTGAGAGTCATACTCAGTGATGTCATTAGCTGTGCTCAACAAGTGGAGATGCTGGAAAATCAATTAGCAGCCAGAATGGAACAGCTTCAGAACACCATCCAGTCTAAAACAGCAGTACCTACAGCTCAAGTGTATCCTCAATTCATTCATCTAGCTCAGTTGTGGAGTGGATTTCAAGATGAAATGGTATTATTGAGTGTATTAAGTAACATCCTGGCCAGTTTGGAACCTTTCACCAGGGGACATAGAGAAATATTTACTGATGATGTATTGAATCCTTTCCTTGAAGGTACCCAAATTAAAACAGATGAAGACAGAGTTAAAGGGGTATCAGGACCAGACCAGTTTGTTAATCCTAAAGATTATCAAGTCAGTCAACTGGATTGGTTGTTCCCAGAAACAACTAAAAACTTCCATAGGTTACCACTTCAGTATCGAGGTTATTGTGCACTCACTCTTGGGAAATTTGACCGTCTGCTTTTACCCTCCAATCCAGATATTGGTGTTCTTCGATATAAAGATCATCATTATGCTTTCTCTTCCAAAGCAGCTGCTTATGAGTTTGCTGAAAATCCAGCGATGTTCATCCAGCTGGTGGCAGAAGGCGCGAAAAAAAGTCCAGAATTAATTCAGTTGTTAGAACTCCATAATCAATTTTCAACCATCACCCCTTACAGTCAAGGTAAAGATGCTGGTCGAATGTTAGAGAAACCGGTCACAAAATGTGACAGTGGATCACAAACAGACACACATTTTATGGAGTCCAATATCGTCAAGGGTTACGAATGGAATGAATGGGAATTAAGGAGAAAAGCCATCAAGTTAACGAACCTCAGAACCAAAGTAACTCACTCAATTCAGACCAATCTCAGCAACATGAGAAGAGACAATGTAACTCAAGTCTACTTACCCAAAGAAAACGCCACTCAAACTAAGGTGGACTCCTCTACTAATGTACCGAAACCTCAAGTATTTTTGGCTGGTTTAAGGGGCGGTGGTATGGGTGTACCAACAGAAATGACCAAAGTTGATTTAACTATTAGTGTTGATGAACCTTGAAGATGTTTTTTTTTGTTTTTTTAAAGACAGATTTTGTTAAGAATTTTTATGTATACATGAATTGCGAATATATCTGTTTATCTCAACTTTTCTCCTCTACTTTTGCTAAAATAATCACTTAATATTGCTCATTTAAGGGTCATGGTTCGCCATTTTCAGGGTTGATTTGGGTCTTTAGAAGGATTGAAAATCTTGGAATTTCTTCTCTTATTTCTATAGATGTCTTTTCTATATATATTGCAGTGTCCCAAAAACAGATAATTCTGAACACACATGATTTGAATGCTCAAATTTCGAAGGTGAGCTGTGAACAGCATTACTGATTGGCTTAGCTAAAAAATTCCTGTTTCTGAGACTAAAGTATGATTGGTCAAAAAAATAGTGCATCTGTGCCTTAAATGATACTCTCTGATGGAATTTACCATCACACATTTTTAAGAAAGGTCTGTTTTAATTTTGTCTTACTTCTTTTCAATAGATGACGTCAGTTGTGTTGTGAGCCTCACATTCGAGGTTTCCAGACATGAATAATGTCTGTTAAGAATTTAATTTCTTGAAAATCAGCTTCTCCTTCAAATGATATGGTTATGTATGACCATCATTGCTTGATAAAGACATCGTCGAAACGTTATTTATTAAAGGAAATGTTATCCGTATAATTGTGTCCAGTTATTTATACTCCAGTTACTACATGCCAATCAAGGAAGTTATATATAATCAGTTTATACAAAAATTCAGCTAATAAATTTTATTTTTTAATGCATTTTTATCAGCAAGATAAGAATATATATAACATGATCATTTGTACAATATTATTTACAACAAACTCAGACTCAAAATAACTTACATGATCACTTACTAAAAATATAGATCAGAATCATAATTCATTTCAATTTAAACAGTAACTTTAAGAGTCATTTGACCTTGATATCTTAGGATAAGCGTACTTGAGAGTCGTACATTCAGACCAAACTTCTGTTTCATTTTTTATTAGCTTTTATTTAACATGGCCCCTTCTGTAAGAATCTAAAGACTTTCTTGAACAACTTGAATATTCATTCACTTGATGATACTACCAGCCAATCAAATTCCTGCCCTCTCCAACCCTGTGATTTTGTGACACGACCAAAAGGTGTATTCAGAGAAGCATCAGACAATGAATGCACAATCTCAGAGAAGGCAGGAATTTGATTGGCTGGCAGTGTCATCATACAGACAAATGTTCAAAAGGGCCGTCTTCAGATCCTTACAGAAGTGGCTTAATTAAAAATATAGGCTATTAATAAACAGACCGAAAGTTGGGTTTATTTTATATTTGACTGACGATCAGACACCTCAGTTTAGGTTCAGAGTGAACAGTTTAAACCTTACTAGAAACTTGAAACCAAATATTATAGAATTTGAACTCTGAAATAGAAACTTATTTGGTTCCATTTAAAATTCTCATAAATGTGAAATGAATTCCAGTTTTCTGCTTTTATAAAACAGTTTTCAGGAAATGTTTGTCATGCATTCAGTAACCTTTGCCACAAACAACAAAAACTTTTACTAACTAACCTCAAGGCTGATCTTAGATATCCAGTTTCCTACTTTTATTTATTTTATTCTAGCACAAATTTAAATAAATCATTAATTAATAACATTATTTGCACCAATATAAATCTGATTATAATAATATACTGAGCCTGAGGTCTGTTTATTACCCTTCGTATATATTTCAATGGCGTAATTAAAACACATAACAACGAAACGAAAAGTATATGCTTCTTAACGCCAGTTATATGTTATCGACATTCCAAAAAGACCCAAAGCATGCTTCTTACATTTGGTACATTTTGTATTGGATCCTCATTTTGTAGGTTCTGATTATTTCAACAGTCGAACAGTTTTGGTCGCTGATTTTTGTCGACTACTTGAATCTTGAGTAAAATCTTTCTTGCCTGTGCTTCCATGACAAGAACATCTCTTTGCCGATAGAATTTATAACAGTCTGATATTTGTCACCGATTATTTTATCGAGAGTGTCATCATCCAATCAGATTCATTTTCCTTTCAATTGCATGATCCCAGGTGATAATCGATTTAGTGTAATATGACCGACTGGAGATTTTTGCCCCCTCGTGTGCCCCCAGCCGGTCGGTGAAATTCTTGACAAGACTCTAATTGGTGAAAACAATTGGCTACCATGATTGTTTGTGTGCACAAATCAAAATATGAACCTCATTTAGGTCGTTTAATTAATGACCCTATTGAAGTTTTGCATTTATAATTGAAATGACTATTCATTCTACCAAAACACTGTGACTCTACATGTAAAATTCTATTCCTTATTCAACAAAGGTTTGGCCTTACTGAGCCTAAATAAAGTGCAAGTATAACTACACTTTAGTTATATATATTATTAAAGGGAATAAAATAATGCTAAAATATAACATCAATAATTGATTATATACATATAAAAATATAACTTTTTAACTTATACATGCTATTTATATCACACACCAAGTTTTGATATTTTATATAATTCATTGTAACAATTAGTATGAAATCTCATCGGTCATTTCTGACATAACATGGTTTTAAAATAGGGGAAATCATTCCAAAAGGGCAACAAGTTTTCTTAGGCAATGTTTAAAAGGATTGTGAAGAGGTTTTCTAATTTTTTTATGTTAATTGGGGTCACTGATAGAATCAATTTACAACATTCCAATTTTCAATCAGATGTCTGTGGTTCCTGCAATTCCGCTTAAACATCACTATTTAAGAAGGGTCATATGTGGTAAAACACTTGTTCGATGACGTCATCAAACACCTATTTTTTGTGAAATTGCAGGAACCACAGATGTCTTACTGAAAATTGGAATGGTGCAAATTGATGCTATCAGTGTCCCTGATACACATAAAAAATTTAGAAAAACTCTCCACAATCCCTTTAAGATAACGATAAGGTCTAAATCACAAATGAACATCACATACAGACAAAACTATACATTGAATCAAAACGGCAGTTCAAAACATATAAAAGTTGCCTATGAGTAACACTAACTTACTATAGGAAAACATGTAACAACAGAATAACCAGAAGAAAAAGGTAACAAATCACGTAAGTGTTGTCCAAAACTAGGTTGGAAATCTGTAATATTCATATATACTCCAAAAAATTTGGACACACTGGAAAAGCTGGACAAATCTTTTTTTCAAAACCAGAAATCATCTATAGACAGATTTCAATGGTGCATTAAGGAATATATGAGTATAATATATATCATTATTTTCAGAAATATATTCCCTTTATATACAGTTAGGTCTATGACCAGCTACCCTAATAATGAATTGAATTATTGGGATCCATTCATACAAATTCTGAATCCAAATCAAAATTGACTTAAAGTGGCCCTCACAAAATAACGATCACCGTTTACATATTTGTCTTGACCAGTATCATTATTCGCAATCATATGCAACAGATAATCACTATCATGTGAGGGCACCCTTAGTCCTTTCCTAAGTGAAATTTGACATCAGGTTTGTCTAATATTCAAGAAAAACAGAAATATGGTAAGTATACCTCTATCTCAATTATTATACAACTTCAAAGAAAGCCTAGAAAATTTGGAATAAAGTTAAATGCCAGTATTCATTTCAAAACTAATGACAGACATACACTCAGTTAGATTTTCATTTTAAAAAGTGATTTTGGTAACTAAAAACTATGTGCTACACAACTCTTGGATATGGCTTGAAAAAAGTCAAAATTTTGTATAACTCTCAGTTTGAATAGAGCCAATCCCTCCTCTAATCACTACATAGAGAGTTAGCTATAGATCTTATATCATATTACCAACTATTATTATTATACTAATAAAATAATAAAAAAAAAGCATAATACAAATATATTTGAGCAAGCTGTATCTAAGATGAATTCTATTTTGATTTTTTTTCTGTATTTTTATTATTTTGTTCATGATAGAAACATTTTGATTAAGAAAGTTGTAATGCCTTACATGATGGAGATAAAAACCTTTTCATTTCTGCATAAACTTAAAGGAATACTACGTCTTAGAATAAACATAAATTTAAGAATTTTAAACTTGGCCAATAAGAGCATATATTATATTCATCAGTAGATATACCTGGTGTCATAAATAACATAACAGGATCCTTATATAATCCGATAAATCCAAAAAACTTAGTAATTATCCATAAAATATGCAATTAACTATTGAAAAACGCTTTATATTAAGATTAAGCGTTTTTGAATAATTACTTAGTTTTATGAATTTTCTAATTTTCCAGGGATTCTGTTGTAACTTTATAACACTATAGGTAAGTTCACTGATGAATATATACTCATATTGACCATTCTTGAGAACTTAAATTTTATGTTCATTGTAAGACGTAGTATCAATCATCCAAGAATTCACCTTTTCTCAAAATTTCAAAATTAAAATGAAATTAAAAGCTTCAACATTTATGCTAAAAGCGCTTTTCTGATAAAGGCCTCTCTGAAATCTTAAAATTTAGTTACTCGCTCTTATACCTGATGCCAATGTCTATATTTCATAAAGGTTACAGAGGTAACAGTACAATTCTATTTAGTACATACCCGTATTGATAAAAGCAATGCTGCAGAAACCAAAGCAAATCAACAAGTATTTCATCTAAAGCTATACACTACATAAAAGGCATTCTAAAATACAGCTATATGTGAACAAATTTAAGAGTCTTGCTTGATGCAAAATTATTACTGTTAAAACATTATCCAAACCGAGCTTTTAGAATTGTACTATAATATTATCTTAAAGGGACAGATGCGCCATTTTGGGTGGTTGATTTAAGTCTTGAAGATAAGTTAAAAGTTAAACAATTGCGTAATTCCTTTAAAAATACGTCAAACTATTTCTATATATGTCTTTTGAAATGAAAAGAAAAGAGTCTTTTCTATATATCACAGTGTATCTTAAATTGATGAGTCATCTTTTTAACTTTCAAACAAAGATAATTCTGGACACACATGGATTTGAAGGCTCAAATTTCCAGGATGAGCTGTGAACACTATTACTGATTAGGTCAGCTAAAAAATTCCTGTTTCTAAGACTAAAGTATGATTGGTCAAAATAATGATGCACCTGTCCCTTTAAAGTTATGCTGTTTCTGACAAGTTTAAGGATTATACAACATTCCAGAATGAATCTTAAATGGAACTAAAGCTTTAGCTATTATCAAGAAAAGAAGTATAAATATCACTAAGTGAATATAAATGCTTTCATGAAATTATTCATTCCAAACAATAAAATTATAAATTTAGCTGACAATGTGTTAAGCAGAGGCAAAGATTACCTGAAGATACCTTAAATAGAGAGGTTTTCTAACTTCTTTTTTTATGTGCATCCCGGACACCGATAGCATCAATTTGAACCATTCCAATTTTCATTCAGACATCTGCGGTTCCTGCAATTCCACTAAAACTAAGTGTTTGATGACATCACTAATCGCAAAGGGCCTTATGTGACATAAGCATATTTCGTGATCATCAAACACTTAGTTTTTGTGGCATTGAAAAGACTGACTGAAAATTTGAATGATGCAAATTGATGCTATCAGTTTCCCAATACACATATAATTTTTAGAAAACCTCTTTACATATCACTTAACCCAATCAAAGCATATAATCAGATCAAATGAGCACCCAGTAATAATGGTATATTATCTGGTATATAATATGTAAGTATACTATGAGCTGCCATGGTATATGGAGAGATCTGCCTACATTTTGATATTGGTCTTCTGTTTCAATTTCCACTTCATTTTTTGAACAGGCATTATTTCATTCTCAAATGAAGCATTCAAAAAGTTAAACTCTGAAATGTTTCGATGGACATTGTCCAGTCAAAAAATTCAGATCAAATTTTTTTTTTTGTCTATTTGTCTGTTTACAAAGCCAAATGAGAAATTTAGGTCTAAGAATATGCAATTTTTGAATTTACAAGCAAACATAATCAGAATCAACAACCAAATTTAGAGAGGATCTTACATCCATTTTAACCCAAAATGATAAAATAAATTTGTGTTGTGCCAAATGTGAATTTTCACAAAAAATAACATTGTGAATATTTTCTTTCAAAAACTGTGTGTCTACTGATGAGAAGCTGCCTTGTTAAAAAAAAAAAAAAGCTGTGAAATGATGGCAAGCTTATCCTTGAAACTAGGTCCAATGGAGGGCATCAAAGGAATTTATCAGGTGAAACAGAAGCCATACTTGATATGATATAAAATGATGATGTTTGTTTATGTTTGTTTATCTCCACCAATATCTATATAATAAATAACTACCTATTAATACTGTTAATCCAATACAAATAGGTTTAATATAACTCTTTCTTTCTTTCCACATTTCACTCTTTCGCTGTTTTTCTTTCATTTTCTTCAACTTTTCAGCTGTTTCTTTTTTTCTTTCTTCTCTTACACGCCTTCTTAAATTTCTAAAAAATATACAGCAACATGGGCTTGTCAATGGGATTGAGAACAGAAGACGTCCTACTGATTGAGCTAATGAAAACACCATGCAGTGTGCAATATGGTAAGTAACACTGTGCAGTATGTATGGTAGCAATATCCTACTCCAGTTAAAAAATCTTTGATGTTCACAGTCTGTAGCACATTGGGCCCTCTCCAAACAACTAGGCATAATGACCTACATCACTAACAGGGGGAACCTTGGACCCTGTTCCTTATAAAATCTTGCAATAAGAATCTTAACATTTTTGGTGAAACAGTAATCAGATTGAATTGAGAGCTCTTTAGGATTGTCATTTCAAAATAAATGGTGATAGGTAATATACAAAATATTTCTTAACAATATAACATGAGCTTTTATGATCATAGTTTATATTTAGTACGGTGTTTTTTTTTAAGTAAAATATCAAGGGTCTAACCTCCTATAGACTCATACACCTTTCCAAAACATGAAGTCTAATAGAACTTACCTTAATTCTTTTGATTCTTCATCATCCAGTTTTGATGGTATGATAAAATCATTAACATCAACAACATCAATATCATTAATGTCAACAACACCATCACCATCATCATTATCATCATCATTAGTGTCAACAACTCCGTTTACATCGCCATTCTCTTCAGTATCAAACTTCATTTGTTTACGTGGTGTAGGTAAGTTCTCATCTCTTTCTTCTATCTTTCTAGTCTTCATCGGTACTTCATATTCTGAGCCAGTATCTTTAGAGTCTAATTTACTCTTTTTACCGTCTGCTAGACTTGTTGTTCTTGGTGGAGGTGTTGGTGGAACTTCTTCTGTTTTACTCTGGAGATAAAAGGAAATGAAAGTTTAGCAGTGTTTCACCCTCTAAGTCAATGCAGGTCAGTCTCGTTATAAAAGTCAACACCATTCATTTTTGTTGAATTGTACAAGAACCAGGCTTAAGATTTTACTTCTAAAATGTGCCATGGACAGTTGAAATTGAGCTGTATACTTTAATCTATTCTATTTTTCAGTGTTTTTGTTTTTTAAGCAGGACTACTTTTAAAACATTTGTCCTAATTCAATTTAATCTATTCAACGCAGAAATTCGTCAGATCACGGATAGCAAGTGGCATTGTCAACAAAAACACATGAAACAAAACATCTAAAATTTACATTTCAAACAGATTGACACTCACCTCATTATCCAGAACTTGTTTGACATTAGAGTTAGCATCAGATAAATCTAATAGTCTTTGACCACCTTCTATAACAGCTAAATAACTAAATCTGAGTTGATCTGGTGTCTGTATTAGGCCCATTCTATATGATCTCATACCAATTAACATCGATCTTATATCAACACACTTCATATTTCTTTCTCTTTCAATCTACAAAAATTGTCAATAGATTAATGAATTACTAAAAAATATTGAGGCTTAAGACAGTCCAAAATGAACTTTTGCAAGAAATCAGAAAGTCCTTAGAGGATTGCCAAAGATATTGGAAAGTACAAAACGCCATTAATTTTTCTCCCACTTTTCTGTATCTAATTGGGCTAATGAACACGAGCAACACCGTCAATATGTAATAAGTGAAATTTTGTCTGGACAGTGACATTGGTCTCCTGTTTGTTGAAAAAATAATCTTGAACTCTGCATGAATTTAACCCTTGACTTTCATTTTAGTGAGCAAGCATCTGACTCCATAAATCAAAACATAATATCAGTAAATTTGTTGCATTTTGATCAAACTCAAAATAGCAGCCATCAGAAGAACAATCAAAAACTCAACATGTATAAATATTCTAAAAATTTTGTCAAATCAAATAACTTATATTTATTCAAATTCAGAAGATTTATTAATTTAGTAGAAATATTTCTGTTTCTTTTCAACATTTTGTATGAATCTAATCATTGATCTTGTGGGATGTGATCAGTAAAAACACTCTGGGCAATAGACAAAGACACATTATAAAGACTATTGTGACCTTTAATTATCAACACTGGTGCTTAGGGCTCAGTATTCTGTCTCAGATACAATAATACTATCAATTGTTTAATGGCAGGAGGATTCATTATTCCAGTTTTTTGTTACTTTAATTTAATTATCCAAAGAAAGCAAAGAATAGTTTGGCTGTAATTTTCATTAACAATTCTTTGATTAAATATAATATCATATATAAGAATTATGATTTCTGTCACAACAGCACAATTAAGGCAATATTTTTTTTGTTTTGTTCTCTTTTTTAATTTTCAGAAACTCTTTACAGTTGATATAGAGAATTTTAACATACAATGCATCAAAATGGACCCACTGTCACTGATGGGTATAAGGGATGAAAGCTGACACCAGGCCAACTGTACTCATGGAAACACCCCATCATTGCAGGATGTAATATAGCGTGCCTGTCATCTATTTGACATCCCTCAATTTCTATTGAACTCTTCCACACATGCATATTTTTTGTCAATATGAAACTGTACATTATGATTGAAGAGCTCATTTTTAAAATTAAGGGGGTTTTTTGTTACCAGATCAATTATTTCCAGCTTTGCTTACCTGTACAAGACACGAGTCGACTAAACAAAATGTTCCTGATCTACCAATTCCAGCGCTACAATGTATGAATGCTGGTCCATAATCTGTTTCTAAACAACCAGTTTCACGCACTGACATTAGGAAATTAAGGAATGCTGTAGGGGAAGACGGAACACCAAAATCAGGCCACGTTGTATAATGAAAATGTAAAATTTCTCGTTTGTCTCCAGTCTGAAAACATTCAAAGATATGATGTCAATTGCTTTATTAACAAAATATGGCATGGATTTCTTCCCTTTGAACTGGCGGTAATTGTGCACAAATATGAACTTGGGGGTCAATCAATTAGTGAGGTCTGCACATTCGGGATTCACCTTATCAACTAAACAATCAATAAAACAAATTGGAACAGATCGCAGAATGCTGCAAAAAATAGTAAGTGCAAGCAGAATTCAAAATGGCGGAGAAGGAAGTAGATGGGAAAATTTTGATTGTGACATATTCCGCTCCTGTAACGTTTGAGGACAAAATTGGAATAGACGGAACCTGTTCAGAATTCTCCAATCCAGCGCCACCTTGAAGCATTCCTAAAAGCTATGTTACTAGATACCTTTTCATTCTAGTCTTTCAGGTTTTAAACTAGATTGTTTAAATCAATGATGTTCAAAAGAGATTTTCTGCCCTTTTCATTACAATCAAAATACAATTGTTTCATTTCGTTTTTTTCTGCCTGCGACTCCACTAGCTATTCATGATCTGACAATGCATATCTCATGTTCTGGTTCATTTACTATTTAACCAATCAAATGCTTCGTTTCCCAGATATTTTGTACTAACCTCCATATCTTCGAGACCTAAAACACGTTTTGTATAATTATCATAATCTTCTTCTTCTAATAAGGTTACTTTTAATTCTACATCTTCAAATAACATTTCATCTTCATGATGTTGATCTACACCTAGAGGCCAATACTGATGACATTTGAGCTGAAAAAATTAAGGTACATCATGCAACAATTTGGTTATGTTATCTACAAAGGAATTCTAATATATTTTTCTCCAGCCCTTAATAAATCAGTAAATATTACAAACTGTTACTGCTGATGTTTTGGCTAACCTGCATTGCTTATATCCATTTTGTACTTCTGTGAAATTGGTATAGTTCCCAACCTTGTCATGTCCTTCCTTATACCCAAATGTTTTGGTTCCCCCTAACTTCAGGATGGAGATATGGAAGTCTGAATCAGTAAACCCTCTATTTTCTTTTCTTAATTTATAAAGGAGCTTATCCATGATTTGTGTACTTACTGTGCCTTTTTCTATGACTCTATTGAGCATTATAACAGCTTTAGATTCCTGTTCCCATACAGCTTGCCAAAAATTACCAGCAGTATGTTCAAGAGGGCCCTAAATAAAATATAGTCAGATGAAACATTCTCTCCAGTACATAAAATACTTTTCAGAAAACCTGATTGGATAACTAACTTAATTCAAATCAAGAAATTTCACCAAATACAAGAGATATGGAATATAAATGCATTTCATTTTGGAAACATTTTTCAACTATTTCTGTGCATTAGATTTGAACGACATTTCAAAGCGGAGAGTACATTATAACAAAACACACAAAGGAATAATTATGGCATAACTCACTTCTTTAATTAATGCATGTAACAATTCAACACAAATTAGACACGTTGTCATCAAAAATGGGTTGAAATGTTATGTGCTCTGTTATCAAAGTTCTAAGTGGGTTATACCGTGATATTCCTTAGTGTGTTTTGTTATAATTTTGTTCATATAGGCAAAACTTGTCCATAATGGGAACAAAATATAATTGTACACCAACCTGTGCTAATATATATCTTCTGTTAGCTTCTGGTACTTGAACTAGACTAGCATTAATATAGTCATCTTCACCTTTCTCTATAACAATGCGACTGTGATCATCTAAAATATAAATTTTATCAAATTTCTTTAATAAGTCAATCTAATTCTAAGTCAATCAGCTTCTAAAGACCAAAGTTTCATTCTGTTTTTTATTAGCTTTTATTTTTGATAACCTTTTGACCAAACCAGATAAACACAGCATTCCAAAATGCCAGTGCTGGAGAGGGTAGAAATTTGATTGGCTAAAGCAGACTTCATCGAGTTAGGTCAAAAGGTTAATTTGACAAACATTCAAGCGTTGTCCTTAGACCCTAACTGAACTGGCTACCTTAAAAAATAAAAGCTAATAATAAAACGGAATGAAAGTTTGGTCTAATTTTCATTGTTAATAAGTAGAGATAGATTTGGCTGGACATTTTCTAACAGTTATAATTTTCAAAAAAACAGCCCCAGAAAAGAAATGATAGACTTTGATTGTTTTTGTGATTAAGAAAAAAAAAATCCATGACAATGTTTACTCACACAGAGGAGAGCAATTGTTAATCAAAATAATTTGCAAATTTGTGGACATTTCCCTTTCCCCGGGTAGAAATAATTAAAGTATTAAAGCACAAAAAAGCCATTCCAAAGTTCGTTTAGCAGAAACAATTGTCAAGATATCTTATAGCATACTTACATGGACTGACATCTCTATATCTGTTTTTATTTCTATTTTCAGGTTTTCTAGCAGCTGTTACATTATATTTCTCATTATCTAATGTCTGTAACGAGGCTTCATTTTTCATTCTCTACAATACATTAGTCATCAGAATTAGAACAAACTTCATGTACACATATCATACGACTGGTTTTGAATATTGCAATGTTCTTAAAAATATGAGTATTATTGTCTATCATGTCTAAGCTTTATACCTGTACTAAAAAGAAAAAAAAAACATTAGGGTGAAAATCCAGTGCCCATTCTTAGAGTTTGTTTATTACATGTTCTATAAATTATAAAATGTCAGTGAGGAAATGTCCACTTTCAAATCCAACAATGATATAAAATAAAAACCAGGAAAACTGAATTATTTTGGCTTCAAGCCAATTAAAATTTCCTTTTGATATTTTTTGTTTTCTCTATTATTGATACTGGTTAAATTAGACTTCACAACTCTAGAGTCTGCAATTTGTTTCACTCTCTGCTGGAAATAATCATTGATAGATCTAATAATGCCTATGATTCATGATTTAGATGTTTTTTTTTTTCTATTTGATATGTAATATTGCATATTCTAAAGGGAATCTGAGCATCTCCTATGAAATGAAACATTTTATGCCTGGCCCCAAACGTGCCCAAAACCATTCGTTTATCACATTCGAAGATCGGGTAGCCTGGGGCCAGATTTGTAGGGCTACACTGCTACATTATTAGTGCTGAAAATATAATATAAAATTAGCCATGGTTCACATGGAGCACAAAACAATCATTTTTTTTCCTGAATCAATACAAACAATTATGTGCACAATTCAAAATAGTCAGGAACATTACAGGAATAATAAAGGCATATTTCGGACTAAATGTAAAGCCTTTTTACCACTCGATTACTCTACTTTTCGGTTTTTCTACCTTTACTACACAACCTCAATAACTCAACATAAAATGCAAGATGTTCAAAAACGTTATACCTGATAAAACTCATTCCAGATTTTAGCCCGGTCATTTTCAAGCAACTCTTTTTCAATAAGCGATGACATGTTATTTAGTTAATCAATAAATGATAAAATTTATTATTTTTCTCTTCAGCTGAAACATAACCGGACGCTACGCCATTAACAGGAAGCATTTATCATTTTCGTTTTTCATTGGTCAAGGTCAGAGTTCAAGTCCTAAAATATAAACAATGAGAGTTACTGTCCTTTGATAAATCAAAAGTAGTGAGGTTGTAGATTTTATCGGTTTCGATTCTATTTAATTCGAGAAAGGCGCAACCAAGAATTGCATTATAAAATGTCCCGCGCAGCTAAAGCCAGTCGTTTGCACTTTAAAAAGAAGAAAATTAAGAAAATGACTGTTGTAGAAGCAATTGAAAACGGAAATTGTGAACAGGTAACTTTACCGGTGACCTAACAAAACCAGACAAATTGGAAAATTGACATTTCTCTATCCATTTCTCTACTGTCAGTGACTGTTATCGTCATTTCCTTGTAACAAAATTAAATTTCATTTTCTACTTTCGACAATTATATGTCTATGACCGCTTTCTTTTATTTCTTATAAACTGATTTGTCAACTGACAACTGTCACGTTTGCCAGAATCTGTTTTAATGATTATGTCATATGTGACAAATGTGGATCCTGAGACAATTTCACATTTTCTTTAGTTAAGTTTCTCTGCATATTCATATTATGTCATACTGAGTCAGAAGGGGACAATCATGGTAAGGAAGAAAAAGGGCTGTCGGCTGGATGTATGCTCTAACAAACATAAATAGCCTAAGATATGACAGAAAATTACGAACACATTTACTTAATATTCACAAAAGATTCCAGAGCTTTCCAACACTTCTGACCATCTTAGAAGTTTGAAAGGGAACATAATTCATTCGTGTAGTTGTACTTGCTTTGCCAAATCCTTGATTCGCATGTCATTTCAAATAAATATGAAAATTCTGATGAGATTATAGAGGAAATTCTTTACATTCGTCCTGTGAAAACTATAATAGCAGTTTTGCAATGGATGCGTTATGACAATAACTCAACCATGAACTTTGATACCTAGAAAGTATTTTGTACCAATTGTAAATCTGGTTTTTCAAACATTTTTCTGCGATTTAGCTTCGAAGAATCTAATTGGTCTAATTTGGCTAATCAAGTTATAATTTGTTTGGCATTTCATTAAAGTTTGGTAGCAATTTAATATGTTTCAATAGTAAACCTTCAAAAGATCTTGCCAATGATGTTGGTTCCTTAAGGTAATAGCATTGCAGTATATTTGTAGATTTGGCAAAAAAATTCGCTCGAAAAATATACAATTGGATTTGATTTGCAGATCGTAATTATAAATTAAGTTTTTGCTAATCATAAAAAAATATTGGATCAAATGAGGTCATTTTGAATCACGATGCCATAGCCCTTAAATGGAACCCTGCATATAGACCAAGACCAAAATGTAATAGTAGCATAAGTTAACCTTGCCATCTTTTTGTATTTCAGTTGCAGCATTGTATTGTATCTGGTTTTGATTTTAATAAAACTATTAAGATATCCCACTCAGAAGATCAGTATTGGCTTGCCTTACCATTTTGTTTAGCTATAGAAAGACATAGTGCCAACAGTAAGGATATTATGGAGCTTATTCTCAAAACAGGTAATTTCCCCTCACATATTTATTGAGTAGTTCTTAGTCATATGCTAGGTGTTACCACCAGTTGTATTTATAGGGAACATTAGTTGAGGGGGGGGGGGGCTGAGCAGGGTCCACAAGTTATTCTGAGGGGGGGGGGGAACTAGTATTAGAATGCTTTGTCACTTTTTATGGTGCTCTATGCATTCAAGGGAAGGGGAAATGTTATGTCATTAGCTCAGAATGAAGTCTTATAGCTATTACTTTCAAAAACCTTGAAAAAATCTGATGACCTTAAATGAGTCCATATTTCTTCATTATTGTACTTGACCCAGCTGAAAGGCTGGGTTCTTATATTTTCTTACACCCAACCCATCCTGTTGGCTGTGGCCTCAGTAGACCGAACAGGTTAAGCATAGAGGTGGAATAGAGGTGGGCACTGTCATATATTTTACTGCAACCACAATGTAGAAGAGAAAATGGTAAGATGCAGTAAAAGTGGGTGAACATACCAAAACATGAAAGTACTTTAGGGCAACGGGAGAAGTCATACTCCCTCCTTGTTGCAGATACCATTTTATACTGTGAGAAAATCTAGAAAGTTGTAACTAAACTTGTTTACAGAGAAAAAAATGTCATAAATCCCATGGAACACTACATTTCTGCCAAAGAAGGTGGCCATGGCCACTAGAAACATAGTGTAAACCTGGCATAAATGTGTAAAATGATATGGGAACGATCATTTCCAAGACGTATTTAAAGGGGAACAGTCAGCATTTTCGGGGATTGATTTGGGTCTTTATTGTGCTTTAATAGACTTAAGAAGTACTAAATCGCACGAAAACACATAATCTTTCAAGTATACTTCAAACTAGAAATTTCACTGTCTATTCCTATATATGTGTTTTCTATATGTAGCATAGTCTCACTAGAATTCAAGTCGTATTTTTAACCAACATGAATAATTATGGATACACATGGATTTGAAGGCTCAAATTTCGACAATGAGCTGTGAACACTATTACTGATTATGTAAGCTAAAAATATTCCTGTTTCTGAAACTAAGGTATGATTTGTGGAACAGATAGCAAGGGTGCTCCTTTCAGCACCTCGTAATCTTAGGACGTTTCTGGATATTTTGTAGTTGAAACTGTATATTTTTCATATTATAGGAATAGATCTTGATAAAAGATCGTCACCAATACAAATGTATGAAGAAGAAGGAGGTCAAATACATTATAATCATAAAAATACATATTTACATATGGCTATCAAAGCTAAAAACATGGATGCAATTCTCTTATTAATCAAGTATGGAGCAGACTTGAACGCCACCAATTTATTTGATACAACACCATTACAATTTGCAGTGTCATTTCAATTTTGGACAGCAGTGGACTTGCTTATAAGTCATAATGCTATAAAGCAGACGCCAAGCACCTATGTGATCCCTGGACTATTGTGTTGGGGTCAATTTGAGTTGATCACAAAACTTGTAGCAGCCGGCTATAATATCAGACTAGAAATAGCAGAACTGAGGGAAGATTTGAAAGGTTGTTTCTTTTCTCAAGAAGAACTCTTATTTATTAATAATATATTGGACCGTGCCAAATCTCCTGATAGTCTTTTACAGTGCTGTAGAAAATCTATTCGACAATGTTTAGGTTCCAATTGTAATACCAAAGCTATAGATACTCTGGAATTACCCACAGATCTTGCAGATTTCTTGTCTTTGAAATTGTTGTGGTTGAGATTTTCTATCTTATGAAGTTCTAAACACCTATCTCATTGAATTTCATTATTTTCCAACTGGTGGATATTTCAAAGGAATACTACTTCTTAGAACAGACAGATAATTTAAAGTCTCATACTTGGTCAATAAGAGTATATATTCATCAGTTGGACTTACCAGATGCCATTACTAATGAATAGAATCTCTATGTAACACAATATATCCATTAAACTTATTAATTATTGAAAAATTCATCTAAGCATGTTTCAAAATGACTTAGTTTAATGAATAACTTAGTGTTATGGACATCAGGTAAGTCCACTGATGAACTCATTTTGGCCACGTTCAAATTTTTTGGTCATTTTAAGAGGTAGTATACCTTTAAGCACAAATTTTTTAATTAACTGTTAGTCATTTTGCAATTCAAAGTAGGTGTATATAATGATGGTGATTAAAAATACTTTTTATGCAATGAAATGAATTTTCAACCAATCAAACTTAATAAAGATAATATTGTGGGTGACCGCTCGAAACCTTGTATATGCCACATTTGGTCATTTTGACTTTTTGGTACCGTTCGAAAGCTCGTAAAAGCGCGGATCTTGTGATCAAATCCTCGTATTCTCAGCTTGATTGTAAATAACTCAAAAAGCGCTAATTAAATAACTCGTATATAAACTGTCAGATTTAAAACCTCGTAGAATATATTATTATACTAGGTTCAAAGTTCCTTTTCTGCAGATGAAAATGAAAAACCTTGTATACTGTATTATTATACGAGTTTTTGGTTCAATAGCCCGGAGATCTCAAATTGTTATACGAGGTTAATATTTTCCAAGAATGAAAACCACGTATTTTTTAACAAAATACGCATAATCTTTATTTGCAACAAACTTGAGTAGCTTGTTCATTATTATTTAATATACTATACATGGTCTAAATCTAAAAATTTCCATGGGTATTTGATTCAGCTAAACTATTCAATATTTTGACAATGTGTGCTGCCTGAAATAAAGAAAATCTGAGGTGAATTTGTTAAAAATAAGAGCCAAGACTTATTTCTTCTTGATTTACTGTGACATGGAAGCTTACACCACTGTGCTGTTTCCCATTTGAGAGTAATTACTGACACTAAATGGAATTTTCAGTATTGCCTTTTTTAAATGTAACCCTTTCATTCATCAGTTATTGTCTCAATAGATATATAGATAGATCTCAAGTTTATCATTTTTAAGAATTATAAGTTGATGTCTGGTTCTCCTACAATTCAATAAACAATGTAATGTAGAAACCGGTTGTAATTACACGATATCATGATGTTATTGCTCATAGATACCCATGAGAATGTTAAAAGAAATGTAAAGAGGTCTTCTAAATTTTGTATGTGTATTAAAGACACTTATAGCATCAATTGGCACCTTTCCAATTTTCAATCAAATGTCTGTGGTTCATGAAATTCCATTAAAACTAAGTGTTTGATGACGTCCCTAGGCCTTCTGTAATAAAGCATATTTCGGGATTAGTGGTGTCATCAAACACATACCATCTTCATTAGTCCACATGGTGCAGAAAAGTAGAATGTAAAACACATATTTTTTTATGGAATTGAAGGAACCACTGGCTGAAAACTGGATTGGTGCGAATTGATGCTATTAGTGTTCCTGATACACAAAAAATTTAGAAAACCTCTTCACAATCCCTTAAACATCTCTTTGTTTATTAAATACATTTATATTACTGTTAACACCTATATCAAAACCTTAACATTGTTTAAAGTGATACTACGTCTTAGAATTCACATAAAATTTAAGAATTTTAAACTTGGCGAATAAGAGCAGTAGATAAACCTGGTGTCATAAATAACATAACAGGATCCTAATAAAATCCGATAAATCCAAAAAACTTAGTATTTATCCATAAATATGCAGTTAACTTAATATCAAGATTAAGCGTTTTTCAATAATTACTTATTTTTAATGAATTTTCCAATTTTACAGATTTTACGGGGATTCTGTTGTAACTTTATGACACCAGGTAAGTTCACTGATGAATATATACTCATATTGACCATTTCGAGAACTTAAATTTTAGGTTCATTCTAAGACGTGGTATCACCTTAAGGGATTTTGAAAATGCTAGTATTGTACGTTATCTTTTTTTCAAATTTTAACAAAGTGTTTTATCATGTATAAATTTAAGACATGTTTTAGTGGTTGAATTTTTAAGAAATATATTTGTTATTGTTTTGTTTGTATATATTTCTATATTTATAAATAATAATATAAAATTGTAATATTTATTGAAAATTTTATGTTTCATTTCAAGATGGTGGCCTACAATAGATCAATCTCCATAGGTCAAGATAATACCAGGTTTCCCCATTGTCATTGATGCAGGTTGAAATGAGCTGATATGGAAAAAGTGTTAAGTGTTCAGATGGGACAATAAAAGTCCTGTGTGCTACATAAAGTTGAAAATCTCTGGACAGTTGGGAATCCAATAAGAGAAGGCCAATGCTGCTGTCATAGCGAAAATCCCCTTATTGCAGACAGCATGACATTGCTCTGTTCAATGACCTAATTAGGAGAAGAAAAGTATGACATATAACTTCTTTTAATTTCATGCCCAGCAAAGTAGAATATGCCGGTATCTGTAATCATTTTCAACATGCCTTTTACACTAATGTGATGTGTTCTAATGCTGAAATCCATAGTCTCTACCTTTAACCTGCACCAGTGCTTCTATGGGAAAGTATCTCTTATAACGCCTTATAATATAATACAGATCTTCATCATATATTCAACAGATTGCAAGGAGACAGATTTAGATAAGAGTGATTTTGTTTCAGATATATTGATATTATAGATTATAGCTGTTAAAATCAGACAGCTATTGCAAGAATTTCATTTCAAAAATGGCCTCCTGTGATTGTTAATTAAGTCATAACACATATTTAATCTGAAGTTGATTAACCAATTAAACCAAGATTTACTTTACTATACAGAAAGTGTGAAAGTTAAATCAAGATTATCAAAGATAGATTACCTTTAATTAATCTTTATTGAAAATATCTTTACTTTAAAGATATTGTTAAACATACTATAAATTATCTCCAGCAAGCTGAGTAAAAGATTTTTAAACAAAAGATCACAAATTTTACAACAATTTTGAGTCAAAGTCTTTTAACAAATCAAAATGGCCTCCTTTGTTTTCAGATTTCTCTAAATTTGATATAAATGATAGGAATAGAATTTCAAAATCATTCAATGCTTTACCTCAGAGCTGACCAAATCTCCAAAACAGAAAATGGCGTCTGCTAGTAATAATTGTTCAACAATGTTGTCTGCTAGTGAGAATTGTGGTAACTGTTTGGCCTGTATGAAAAGATTCAGTGAACATCTTAAAAGAGTGGTGTTCTGCGTTCAGAGAGCATGTGAACAGATTGAACTTTTAAAAGAGCGTCTGCGCCAAATCAAAGTTCGCTACAACAGAGCCAAACGCGATGGTCAAAGAGCTTTGAAGCATAATTTGGAAATGAGATACTCCATAGTGAAGTCTGCTCTTCATATCTATCAACAGTATGTTGAAAGAAAGGAAACAGAATTTTGTGTTATCAAGGCCAGGATTGAAATTAGAATGACAGCTGTATTAGCTGGATTAGGCGTTCACATACCAGATAGTGACAGTTCTAGTGATGATGTATCTCTTTAACTTGGATCAAATTCTCAATAGTGCTCTGTGAATGAATTTTAAAAGAAAGGACATAGTTATGTTTTTCTTTTCTGCCAAACTATGAACTCCTTCATTTTGAATATATGTCTGTTGTAATGCATGTACATTTATGCAGATCTAAATGGAACAAAATGTACATATTTGAATGTGAAATGCAAGCTTGTATATCTAAGTCCTACAAGGGACTCAACTGGCATATTTCTTGTATGAATGTAAATGAAGTGCTAAGACATTGAATTAATAAATATTTATTACAAAAGCCACTTCATTCATTTTTTTTACTCTCTTGCAAAAGATTTTTCTTCTACTAACATTAACTACACCAGGACCATTTTGGACACAGTTGTAATTTCTTATAGATGTTTGACACAAGGGTCTTTGCTTTTGCTAGGTATACCAACCAAAGCACTAAAGACTGAAGTTGCTCCAGTAATTTCTGTAAATTCCTAATGTGTATCTGTCCTGTCTTGATCCATGGGCTTTCAGCTATCTCATTGTGATCAAACGTAACTAATCCCATTATTTTCTTCAGTTATTTTTCTTTGCCTCTTCACATGTTCAACTGTCTTTCAGACGAAATGTAAAAGCTTTATTACCAGTTTTACACTGTATAGAATCTACATCAATGTAGTTCAAATCTTCATTTTCTTCTAGAAAACTGTCCAATGTTTCCTGAAATACAATTCAAATTTATTTTAATCAAGGTATGAGGTCAAAAACACATGGGCAATTCATTATGTTACAGCTGTATCATTAAGTTAATAAAATGTAAGACACAAATAAGACAAATGAATATTATATATAAAATAACTCAAATTCTTTAAGCTAGAACATTGTCTTATACTCTTTTTGTTCCCATTATCACAAAAAGAATTAAAAAGACAGTCTTACCTGTAAACAAGTATGTTGTTTATTTGTTATTTTATCAATAACATTATTTAAACACCAACCAATACTGATATGATAAGATGGATTCTGTAACAGTAAAAAGTATAACAGTTTTACAATTGTTTTTAGCTAAACTTATCAGTGATGTATATAAAAGATATATATAGAAATAGGCATTGAAGTTTCTATTTTGAAGTAATTTTGAAGGAATTATGTCATCTTCGTGCAGTTCTAAAAATTCTGAAAACTATTTACATAACTTCAAGACCCAAATCAACCCCAAAAAGGGCAACCAATGCCTTTAAGTTATATCAGCAGAAGAGGTAAATCTGTCAAAAAACCAATATGAGTAATATTAAAAAAATATACACTAACCTTATAATACTTTTCCAGGTGAAATTCTTCAAAACAAGTGTCAACTAAATCAGTCAACTCTTTTAATCTATTCCTTGAATCTGATACTTGTAAACTTAGAAATGTTCTAAAAGTACAAAAAATAATCCTTATAAAATCTTTTGACTACATACGTCATCAAAAAGTGATATCTACTTTTTTTATTCATTTTATATTCACTTTTCAACTACGTAAATTTTTGATTGAGAATTTAAAGAACAAAAAACATGAAAGGTAGCCAGTAACACATTGATTGCACCTAGTTAGTTTACGATTGAAACATTTAAGAAATGATACCTTGACCATATTAAAAATCTTAATAGTCTATAATACATCTTATCATAAGTTAAAAAAAGGTGCTCTATTATAGCAATTACCAGTTGCATATGGTCATGAATAATGAAAGGAACTTATGATCGCTATCATTATTCGCAACGAACGATAAGCAACTTTTTCACAACATATAATATCTAGATATACATTTTATCTTGCTTACCTGTTTTTTTCATCATTTGTGTAAAACTTAAATGTTGACAGACAGCATATAAATCTAAAAACATAATTCAAATAGGAGATCAAATAGTTATAATAGTAAAAATTTGCATAAGGATCCAATGCTAAAGTTACATCTTAGGTTGTACTTGTTCAGGTGATAATTTTTACCTGATGTCTGGGTAAAAATGAAATTGGAAAAGACTCTGCCAAGAGGTATGGATAATCACAAACAGTAGAAATGAAGCTATTCCAATAGAACATAGTCAATTCTTATTTATGAGTTATCACTGGCCCACACCATGGCAGTGGCAGTAGAATAGCTCAGATGGTAGCGAGTTGGATTGTTGTCTAGTAGATGATTAGGTGCTGTGAATTCTGATGCCACTGCTAGTGCTTGCGAGAGTTGGGCCAGTGTGACTTTCACCTCCTAGTACCATAACTAATGTCAGTGGAATAGCACAGTCAGTAGCGAGTTGAATTGTCGTCTGCATAGAGATAAGAGTCTATGGGTTTGAATCCTCCTCAAGGTAAGAAAAATTCTGATGCCAGTGCCAGTGCTTCTGGCATCTGCTTTTGGCTTGTAACTTGGAGTGAGAATACAAACCTGTTTATATGTTGAAATGATTTTTGTAGAGATTGTGTAAGAGAATCTATCCAGTGATGTCGTATTGTCACTGTTCTTGATAAACTTAAATGAAATTCAGACATTTTGTGAAAGTCTAATGGATGTAAACATTTTAAAACTTCATCTACCATTGATATAAATCTGTCTTCTTTCAAATCTACAAAGAGAAAATATTACATGGAAGACATTCAGTTTTTGAAAGAATACAAAGAATAAATTGCAAAAGAAAGAAATAACTAGAAAATAACAATGTGTACAAGGATATTGACTTAGGTTTGTGAAGATCCTATCTACCAGTGAAAATCCTATCTACCAGTGAAGATCCCATCTTCCAGCTAAATGTGAGAATTTCATAATGAACAGTTTAACTTTCAAAGGAGTCCTTGGCTAATTGTATGGGAACAGGATGCCACATTTTAATTCTGAAAATTCATAAGAATCCCATAAACCCTTTAATCTATTGGTTAGTGGTGAAAAATGAATTTATTGATATACCTACATGGTATGTAAACATGAGTCGCCCAATTTCCTTCAACATGTTCAAAACTTCGTATTCTACCCTCATGTCTAACTGGATTATCTTCATGTTTCTTTTGTTGTTTAAACATATTTTGTATAGAATCTGGCACAGGTAATTTCAAATCTTCAAATTTCCTGTAAAAATAAAGTATTATTCTTTAAAAAAGCTATGTTTTCTTCAGTGGATAGAATGCTGCAATATAACCCTTTTTTTTATCTAGTGCCTTGTGCTCTGAAACATCAGAGCTATATAGCACATTACATTTCTTATTCCTTGCACATTCAAACCGCACACCTGATGCCAATATTTGATGAGTTTTGTCAACTCAGCATAATTTATTTTGTTACCTTTTCCTTAAATTTTTTTCTGTTAATTCTGGTATCTTGGAATCCGAAAAGTTAATTCCCTCTTCATCAGAACTGGAATAACTGACAATTCCTAGAGACATCTTTAAACAGTTTTTCTGAAATACATTTTGAATTTTTTTTAAATTCGTTTAAGCTCCACTGTCATTCATCTCAAAAATGATGTTGGGGACAAGGGGAGAGAGGGAGAGGGAGGGGGGGAGAGGGGGGATTGGGGTAGAGGCTTGTCATTGTCATTGGAGTTAAGGATGGCACTGATACAGGCCACTGCCACAGGGTTAAATTGAGCATAGAAATGTCAGTTATGGATTCTTTTAACATATTCTTTATTCAAATGTAGCATAAATAAATATTCATTGCGATATTTCCCACAAAAACAGTACAAAACTCATTATTGCTTACAGAGAGTAAAGGAAGCACAAGGGAGGTAATACTTGACGGAAGTTACACTTGATTATCTGAATAATTCTCTCCAATCAATATTATAACAGAAAGGGGAGATTGAATCATCGGCTTCTGTACTCACCAAAATGATTTCTACTGTTCAACCATAGAGGACTACTTCGTGAAATCTTCAAAAAATTATAATTTGTGAGATTTGTGTTTTAATCCGTGACAAGACATCATTTAGATCCGGCGTGTAAACCAAGTGAAACTTTTATATCGCAATCATGGCGGAAAGTCGAATGAATTTAGCAGCTCTTCAACAAAGGGATCCATTTATATCAGAAATAATTGACACTGCTTCACAAGTCGCTCTTTATTCTTTTAGTTCGAAGACAAATGAATGGGAGAAAACATCAATTGAAGGAACTCTTTTCATATACAGAAGATCAGCGGCTCCTTTGTATGGTTTCATGATTCTGAATAGACTTGGTTTACAAAACTTGATAGAACCTTTCACAAAAACATTAGAGTTCCAAGTACAAGAACCATTCCTACTATACAGAAATGATAAGCATATATTTGGTATATGGTTTTATGAAAAGAATGAGTGTTCCCGATTAGGATTGTTGATGAATAGAACGGCACAATCTGTTCAGCAAACAACCCCAGAGTTATCAAATGTTAGTGTTACACATATTCGTATGACACAACAAATTCAGCAAGTGCCCCATGCCGTTGTTCCTCAAGCTCAAGAAAGTTCAGCATCATCAACAGTAGATATCATGAAAATTCTAACTAAAGCTCAACACGAATATGATCAATCAAAATCGACGGTTGTGAAACGTTCTGAACCTCAGTCAATGACAGATAATTTAGGAAGTGGTCTTTACTCTAGAGAACAACCATTGATCCGACCAACACCAGTGAAACAAGAAACTCATACCATGAAACAAGAAGGGAATAGTCCTGAGCTGGGTATACAAGGGGGTGATAATCCTATGTCTATTGAAGCTTTATTCAGAAAAGCAAGTATTAATCAACACAGACCAGAATTACCTGATGTTACTAAACCCTCAGCACTCCAAAGATCTATATCTCAACCAGATGGTGATAACAAACAAGATCTTCATCCTTTATTGATGCAGTTGATCAACAAAACTCCAACAGTTGACCAGATAGAGCAAGATCAAACATCCTTACGTGAACGGAACCCATCTCAGGGTACTGATGAATTACACCTCTCCCCCAGATCTTCTGATAGCCTACCTGCTCCATTATTGAAACCTTCTGAGGTTGCATCACATCCACCACAAGTATACATGCCTAGAGTGTCTTCATCTGATATTGAAAAGGATGTTGGTGGTTCAATATCTTGTCCAGATGTTCTCTTATCTCCAATGGCATTCACCAAAAATACTGGCTCTAAACTGAACCCATCCAACCCTTCATCTAGTGCTTCATTAAATGTTACTGGTAGTGATCATCTATGTTTATCAGAAAGTTCGGAACTTGATGAATCTAGTCCAGCTCCAGTGGCTGCTTTAACGAAACAACAACTACATCAAGCATTCTGTTATTTATTGAAAAATGATACAAATTTTATGTCTACTCTTCATGAAGCATATCTTAAAAGTCTTCAAGAACTTACAAAAAAATAACAAATTGTACAGTACTAACTCCATGTTGTGAACATGAATAACACATTCATTTCTGTCCGGTTGTCTTATGAATATTCGTCTCAGCAGGGCTATTGCTTTTTAACTTTCTGTTATATGTGTACATTAAGATACTTTACTTAATACATGAAAGAGTTTGAGCACACAAACAGTCTTGGTTGCTGATTTTTGTCTCGAATCTTGAGTAAAATCAACGCTTCCACGACCAGATTATCTCGTTTCTAAATTGCTATTTGGCGCCAATTATTTCATTGTTTACAAGACAGTCATCATCCAATCAGAATAATTTTCTTGTAAATTGCATGATTATCGCCATAGTGGAAACGATTGACTGGTGATTTTTGTCTACTTGCGTTCTTGCAGCCGGGCGGTGAAACTCTTGACAAGACTCTCGTTGGCGACAAAAATTACCGACCAAGACTGTTACTGCCTTTTATCTGTACAGTCATCTTTCATGGTGTAGAGAAAAATTGATGTACATCTTGATAATTATAATCTTATTTTAATGTGGCTGTAAAGATCTTCACGTCATAGAAAATTTCATCTTTTTCATACTGTAAATATGAAGAAATTCATTTATAAATTCAAACGATGCTTAATGTTACGTAAAAGTAAAGATTTCATAAATAATCTGGTATATTTGATACATTTTTAAGAAAGACTTGAGATTCATCAACTTAATAAATAATATAATTTCATTTCTTGAGAAGTTATTTCCAAAATTCAAATGATAAAATTAGTGTTAAAAAAAGAATTTAAAACGTATTGTAAATGAATTACCCACAAAATTGTATGGTTTAATTCTTTTAACATTTTGTTGTTAAGATTGTGAACAATGAATTGTCAATAATGAAAATTCTCAACAAAAAAAAAATCAGGCAAAACATTTTGTTATTACATTGTTTATTGAAATAAATTATATCATCCATACTTTATCTAGTTCATAAATCCATAGACAAAGATGGAGCAAGACATTCCCATTTCTCTTGATGTATGCTATATGCCACATGGATCATTCAAGCAAAGTAACTATGACATAAGAAAAAACTATATTACTTCGGTTCACACTTAAGGATCCTTTCTTCACGCCGATCGAGATCAGAACCCATATTCTGAGGACTTTCATTTGATCATTTAGAATATTTAACCATACATTGACTAGTAATGTGTATGTGAGGATGAAGACAAAACCATTCATATTGTTTTACATGTCTCTAAATCTGCTGCCTGGCATAACTAATCAAATGATGTGATACATTAACAAACTTTTTTCAATTAAAGACTTTATTTAAATCTTTGGCAAAAAAATCAAACAGAAGTAATCTTTGGAAAAAAAATCAAACACAAGTAATCTTTGGCAAAAAAATCAAACACAAGTAATCTTTGGCAAAAAAATCAAACACAAGTAATCTTTGGCAAAATGTAATAACATGAAAAATTCAACAAAGAATATAATGAAAATAAATAAGGCTGATAATTGTAATGATTGGAACGTAGAATGGACGGAATGTTAATTGAAAAACTATGCAAACACTAAAGAATTGACATTCATTTCTTTTCAAAAATGTGGTTGCTAGACAAGATAATAAGAAATTAAGTAGTTTTTCAGTAATATGTAGGTCAAACATTATACCAAGTTGTCTTCATTGATGTCATTAATCGACATAAACATCCAATTTCCCTCATAATCTGATAAAATATATAACTTGCTGACAGATGTAGGAACAGCAAAGTGCAACAACCATAATTAAAACTTGAATGGAATGTCCATATCCAATATATTTAAAACCCAATGTAGCAATACCACAGCATAAATGCTTTGAAATATCTTATTTTTAGTTTTACGGTGCTCAAAGTTATAAAAGTTTTATCTGTTGTCAAAACTACATCTACCAAATATATTTTGATATGAGATATAAATAACATTTATTATGTTCATGTCCGACTAGTAAATTTAGGTTAAAGAAATAATAACATACCAGGCACTTTTGCATTCTCAATAAAAGCACTTTCAAATGATAAACATTCTAGCACTAGGGATAAGAATAAACTATATACATATAAATTTAAAAAACAACAAACAAAATATATACATTCTGTTATCCACAGAATGTTTTTGGACGGTTTTTGACTTGAGTAAAATATTGAAATAAATCCCAGATATTTAGAAATAAATATTAAGATTCCAAAGCAATTAGAAACAACCTTATTTTCAGAATGTTTTTGAAAGTAACAATACTGATTGGTTGAAACTGCATTAATATGGACCAATATTTAAAAAAAAAAAAAATTTTAGTTCCCTAAATTGTTTCTGCTCTCATGCTGTATTCGTTACTTCTCTGGTAAATGGGAGTTAGGAGGAATGATTAATATTCTAAACTACTAATATTGAGTTGCAGTCATATGAGGATGTGTACCAAGTTGCAATTACTACATATACTTCCCACTGTGAACTCTCAGTATCTGAGAGGTAACGAATACAGAAAATAATCAGAGAGCGATGTTATTGGTCTAAATCACTTTGGATTCATCAGTAAAGTCAGAGTTGTTTGATCAGAATAATTTTGATTCTAATGATATGATCTATAATTATAAGGATGATTATTAGTGACAGTGCGAGATAGTTGGCGAATAGGACCAATATTACTACTCGCTTTATGGTTAATAATGCGGTTAACTGAGTATGATTTGACTCCACCGATACCATCATAATAATCATGATCATGCTCACTTTGCTGTGTGTGATTTGAACTTGCAATATAGTTCGAGTTTGAGAAGTTGTTTGAGTGACCATGACCTGAGCTGGCATGATTAGGATTAAATTGATAGTTATAATCATTAAACCATGTGCCAGAATCATTGTGGTTAAAGCCAGAATCATTGGGGTTAAAGCCAAAATCAGTGTGGTTAAAGCTAACATCATTGTGGTTAAAGCCAGAATCAATGTGCTTAAAGCCAGCATCACTGTGGTTAAAGCCATAACCATAGCCATAATCTAAGCCAGTCAGATCATAGCTAGAGTCATATTTATTCTGTCCAGAGTCTACTGTTCTAGATCTCATATGACATTTGTAATTGGAGTTGTAAAATGGATCATCATTTTTGCTTTTGAAACCGTTATCAAAACTATAACTTCTCGCATGTAGGTTATGCTCTGAGGAACTTTTAAAATTGACTGTAATGGATATCTCCTCATTTTTAACTAATGAACTGAAATCAAAATTCCAAGACTTAGCTATGTGAGTCAAAATTAAATTTGTTATACGTCTATGAGCAGTGTTATCCCAATGTATACCATCAGTTGCCCTTCTGTTTAACTGGGTACGTAAATGAAAGTGCAAATCTAGGACATCAAATTTGTGATAAGCCACAATCTCTCTGGCATAATAATTAGCTTCAATAATGTCTAGACGTAAAGTACCATTTCGGAATTCCACTTCTGGAATCAGAAATCCACCTCTGGCATTCCTGGAAATTGGTAACGTACAGTTCCAGACAAATAAACAATGTGGCGGCAGTGTCTCTTTAAACCGTTTGATGCATTTCTGAAGATTATCTTTATATTCATTGATAGCATTACGTCCATACCTAAAATATTAATATTCAGATTTAATTTTCAAGCCAAATATAAATTAGCATTGATCTGTACCCATTTACAGCTGGGTTGCTGGAATTATGAATGAAGATGGCTTATTTATGGACATCAGATTTTCACATGCTGACCGAGATTAGAACCCACAACCACCATTTGTTCGGAACAAACACTGTGACCAACTGTGCTACAGAACACCAAAGACCAACCGGTAGAAAGAATCCTTGTGAACCTCATTTTTCATCCTTGTAATATTTTTTCTTTCTTTCTTTTGTGTCGAATGAAAAAAATAAGCTTATGAAATTCATCACTAAAAATTTGTCTCACCTAGTTATGTCCCATAAACATGAATTCATCATCACTACATCTGGTTTAGGTTCCTTCATTAAATCTAACAATATACTCTCTACATACTGGTTATAACATCTTGTTACAAAATAAAATCTGATTAAATGATCTTCAGAATTATACTGTCTTACTTCTCTATAGTTTATACCATTCACCATTTTACCTAGTACACCACCTTCTATTAGTTCATCTCCTTCAAATGTTACTTCACCCTGCAAATAATTAATAATATTTAAAAGAACATTTTGGGGGGTTGATTTGGGTCTTGAACATATGTAAATAGTCTTCACTGCACGAAAATCACTTCAAATATACCTCAAAGTAACAATTTTCCTTTCTTTTCTGTATATGTCTTTTTATATATGGCAAAGACTCTAGAAAAGACGAGTCATCATTTTAACTTTCAAACTTTGATAATTCTGGAAATTTGAACAGTGAGCTGTGAACACTTGTACTGTTTCTGTTTTTTCGAAATTCAAGCACTTTGGAACGTGTCTGGTAAAACAATCTTTGTCACTTGATATTCAGACACCAAGTTTTATGAAAATCTGTTGAAAACAAAAGGTGCTGTTTCCATTTTCACTATTTTAAGATCTTGGGGGTTAGAGGGGAACAGGAGGCATTATCGGGGATTGATTTGGGTCTTGATTGTGCTTTAATAGTCTTAAGAAGTACCAAAACGCACGAAAATCGCATAATCCCTCCAAATATACCTCAAACTAGAAATTTCACTGTCTATTACTATATGTGTTTTCTATATATGGCATAGTCTCACTAAAATTCAAGTCGAATTTTTAACTTTCAAATGTGAATAATTATGGATACACATGGAATTGAAGGCTCAAATTTTGATGATGAGCTGTGAACACTATTACTGATTATGTAAGCAAAAAAAAAAATCCTGTTTCTGAAACTAAGGTATGATTGGTTACACGGATAGTGAAGGGGCTCTTTTAACCATGATTGAATACCTACTATATACCAAGTATTATGACAATCAGTTGAAGACTGAGTATGAAATGTGAATAGATAGACACAAGCTGTCAGAGGAACATGGGACATGGGTGCTAAGTCACATACAGAGATGAAGGCGCATGGACAAGGGAGACAATAATAAAATATGGGGGTATGAAAATATTTTATGACATAGTATTTCAACATGATGTCTGTGTAAAGCAATAATACAATGGAAGCTGAAAAAAGCTCAATACTGCTTAATTATTGAGATTGCTTCCTGTTTTCTTGTGATCTAGTGTTCATCAAAAAAAAAAGGGTATCATCGTTACCTTCGATTTAAGATTTTTATATGTTAAATATTTGTTTCTATTTAATAGCATCACCAGATCTTTATATACCCCTCTCTGAACTGAAATACATAAAACAGCTGCTATTAACTTTGAAACGATAGGCTATATTAAAAATATGAATTATCTAAAATCTATATGAAGGAGTTCAATAAACTCATAATAATGCAAGACATACGGAAGCACGCTTACCAGAATCTCCAATGATGACCACAAATTTGTTATGTAAAAGTGTATCAGCATCATCTTGCATGAAAACATGACACATTTCTAACTATCTCAGTCTGCAATTGTAAAAAAAAAGAAAATATGACTGGATCATAATCATAACAAATGGAGATGTTCTATTTTGCAAAAAAGGGAAAACTTATGAAACAATCTGATTAATTTGCAAATGTTTTCTTTGCTTTTTTTATGCAGGTGACTCCACTTTCCATCCATGACCAGGCATTGCCATTGCAAAGCCAAGTTTTACTGTGTTTTTTTTTTCTTAAAATGAAATTAAAAGATTGTCATCCATTGTGAAAAAAATTATTACATTGACTAATAGTTTTCTTTTATGAACTATCCCATGCATATGACACTCCCTGCTTGTGTTTAACTGTTCCAATGATATTTGTTTCAGACTACAACTACGCCAGTGTCTAATTGCACGGTTCTGTTCTAGGCCACTTGGGTCTCAAGTCAAAAGGCAAGTGTTCATGCAAGTTTCCAAAAGTCAGTCATGCGTTAAGACAGTAAATCATTCTAGGGGTCCAACTCAAAATTGTTTGTCACCATTCACAGGAATGCAACTGTTTTCGAAGCCTTTTTATATAGCGACAAACTTTTATTCGCTTTGCCAATGAATTGTCGCCCTTCCATAGACTCTTCTTTTTTAAAGTCCGAAATGCTGATGTTATTGAAAGAAATTTGATTTTGGCGAAGTTCTGATGTGAATTTTTAAATACATTTTTGTTGTGGAAATAGTTTGTTATGATCAAAAGGTTACATTTCTATGATAAATTAAAATTTTGCAACCTTCTAAGCTATAAATATGGTTTCGCTTTCTCAATCTAAGCTAATTTAATTTATGATCACTGTATTTTTAAGTCAAATATGCTATCTCCCTCCATTTTTTTTCCATATGTTTTTTTTATCGTCTCATTCCAAACACTTTAGTCATACAAAAGGTGGCCTCCATTGTGTTGAAATATTTACCATAAGTATTTAAAGTATTTCATTCCATAAACATGGTAATATTTTGAGCTTATTCTATTACTCTTAGCCTACTTTCCCACTATCTGCAAATACAAATGAGCCTAGAATGGAATTTGTTCACATTTCACAAATATGCCTATCAAAACAGGCAAGGCCTATTCATAACAGACCTAGATCTGATAGATCTATTTTAAATTGAGATCTATGCCATTTTTCTAAGAAAGGAAATGTAAAGTTTGATGACTAAATGACTTAACTGTGGGAATAAACACACTTTCCTCCAAGAAGATAATTCAGTTGAGTTGAAAACAAATCACAGGCTACTGAAATTTTTTGACAAAAGATAGGAAACCACAGAACTGGTTCTCTTTGAAATGTATAAAAAGGCAAGAACTAGAAGCTACTAGGATTCTTCTGAAGAAGAATAAAGTTTACCTGATCGCAGAGATCAGTAGTAGTAGTAGTAAGACAGTAGGCCTAAAGATCAATATGGTGATAGTGAATTTTATTAAACTATTCAAAATGAAATAAATAAGGTTTTTTGATGGTGACAAGACATAAAAAAAACTTGCACAAGTTAATTTATAAATGAATTTCTTATTTTCAGAAATGGCTGACTCTAGTGAAAGCTCTCCATTACCCATACCAAAAGGTTCTTACCAAATAGACTTTGATAATTTAGACGATTTTAATCCATTTCAATCTAAGCAGCAGCTGGGTAGTTCACCACCTATTAATAGTAATAATAACAAAGTACCATCTGTTGATAATGAAGATATTAATATAGACGATATTGATCCATTTAAAAGTGGTCATGCTCTTTCCAACTCTCCTCCTACCAATCTAGTCAATAATAACGAGGGGGAAGTTGAAACCAAGAAAAAAGTGAGCCCAAAGACAAAGAAAGTAACTCCTAAGAAGTCTCCAGCTAAGAAAGACAAGTCTCCTGCAGTTTCACCAAAAGTTGAAGCAAGTGTAGCTGCCAGCCCACCTAAAGATTCTGAATTAGTAGAACCTGATTCACCTAAAGAACTAGATGATACATTGGAAGCCGCCACACAGCCCTCTCAAGATAAAACACCAGAGAAAGATTCTGGAGTAGAAACAAATGATGTTAAAAGCTCTCCCGAGACAACTGTTACACCAAAGTGAGTTTTGAGTACCTGATCATTATTTAAACCTCAAAGGTTAAAACCATGGAGTTAAAAAGCTATCATAGTCACAATTGTTTTGAATTTTTCAAATTTTTTATGTCTTTTAGGATAAATATGTAATAATCATTAAACTTATTCTTTTTTTTTAGAAAAACACCAACTCCTAAGAAAGGACTGAAAAAGCCAAAATCGACTACTAAAAGTAAATCTCCAAAGCAATTTGTGGTAAGAGCTTTGATATTATTGATTTTTATTTTCTAAATGCAAGTTTCGAGTCTTGTCTATGAGCCAGGTGAAAACCTTCCACATACCTTGTAACATATGATATATAAAAGCAATAATGCAATAAAATTCTTCTGATAGTATAAGCTTACACAAAAGTCTGTTAATAAATAAGCTTATATCATAGATATATAACTGATTGTTTTTTGTTATTCCGTTTTAAGGATGTTGATGATGAAATTCAAATATTTGCTCCCAAAAGCAAACTTGAACTGGAAGCAGACAATATAGCTGATATACCAGATGGTGATAGTGGTATAGAAATAAATGCGCCTCCACCACCCTCTGTTAAAGATACCCCAATTACAGAATTAGAAGCAACTACAATGGAGGAACCTTCATTTCTTGTGAATTCCATAGCTGTTGACCCTGCTGCTGACCTTGACTTTGCTGCCAACCTTGCACCTGCTGCTGATGTCAAGTCTGAAACACCAATTAAGGAAAAGTCACCAAATGCCAAAGCAGTTACAGAAGAGCTAAGTACATCTGGTGATGATGAAATCACTTTCCATGATGCACAACAAGAAATAAGTGATGCACCACCTGATATGAATGCGTCTGCTGATTTGCAAGGCTCTAAAGAAATGATTGGTAGTTTTGACGCTGTTCATGAGTTTGGTAATGGTGAGAATGAAATGGCAGAAGATAATGAAGGATTTGTCCCTGCTACTGACAGTAAGTATTTTCAATGCCTTGAAGTTGAACAACATTGTACATGGTACTTCCAGGGTTTGATAAAGAAAAAAAAGAAAAGAAGATATGCCATTCTCGGATCAAATTCAAACTAACAAAATATATTTTTCTTTCAGTTTTTGCAGATAATGCTAATTGGGATATGCTGGAAAAGATTGGAGGAGTAAGTATATAGTTTAGTGATTTATCATTATCATTTTGAATTTGCAAATATAACTATAATATAACTGGGCAATTTGAAATATCTTTTAACCTAATAAACCTTAATTTGCAGAATTTAACTAAATCTTGAATTAATAATTGACATTAAATCACACTATCTTTAGACAACGACCAATTTCAGCTTGCGTCTGTACTGACAAGTTAAGTCATTTTGCTACTGATTTATTTATTTACTAAAAGCAAATTTATCAAGATCTACAACTTTGTTTCTGATTTGAAATTTCAGAATCTGTAAATGTTGTAGTGACGTACCATTAAATCTTATTTTATTTCATTTAAGAACAGATTGAAAAGATTGTCTTTCAAATTGATGTGATTTGATTGCCTCTTAAATTAATGATATTTTTATTATAATATTTTAGTCTAAGAATACTCTGACATTGGGTAGAGAATCATTGTATGTGGCATTTGATCCATTTGTAAAACCTATCAAACCTGCTGCAGAAGTCATTGAAGGTAAGGGAAATAACTCTTTACATTATATCCTCTTAATTTTCTTTCTTGCATATTACTGTATGTAATGTTTACTTACAAACAATACACTTCTTAAAGGGACAGGTTTGCCATCCATTTGTTCAATCGTACCTCAGTCTCAAAAATGGGAATTTTTTTTATCTAACCCAGTGGTTCCCAACCTTTTTCAGCCTTCACACCCCTGGAGCAATCACGCCCCCAAAAATTTGTTTCATCCACATTTCCAGCATGTGATGATATGAGGTGCTTTCTCAATTCAAAATAAATTCTTCTCCTACACCAGTTGGCCACACCCCTGAAACAACCCAAGATTGGGAAACTGGGATCTAAACTAATAAGTAAAAGTAACAGCCATTGTGGAAATTTCATATCCATGTTTGTCCATGATTATCAGCATTTGAAAGTTGAAATGATAATGAGACTCTACCATATTTCATCAGATAATTAAAGTAAGAAAGTGAAATTCCTAGTTTGAGACAATTTTAATTATGCAATTTTCGTAAATTTCAAGTATTTCTGAAGACTATTTTAAAGATATGTTCAAGACTATAAATCAACCCTGAACATGGCAAACCCGTCCCTTTTAAACAGCATATCATTTGTATTTAATGTGTATAGCTATAATCAACCAAAAAACTGAATTATAGTTAATTCTATTAAGCTTATTCATTTCTAACTCTAAACTTCTAAATTTTGTGTCAACTTGTTTCTGAGATAAATTACTCCTACTCACTTCCTGTGAGGTGAACTCAATCCAACACTTAATTTAAATAATTCTATGAAATTTAGCCTGCATACATAACTGGTATAAGCTTATAACTCTTTATTTACATTGTCATTAACTTTGCATTAATTTGGATTGAGAAAAGAATTTTGTTCTTCTGTGAGAAAAGGTGTGTCTTACTGTTGATATCTGGACATTTTAATATACCTGTGCGTTATGATTTATACGTAGGATATCCACAAAACTGGATCTTGTTTTAATTTCACATTTCGAAAATTGAGTTGATATTTTCTGAGGCTTGTCATACTGTAGCTTTATTTGCTTAAAACAAAAAAAATTGTGATAGTAACTATTGCCTTTGGGCATTAGTCTCTTTGCAGTTTATTACATATCTGGCAAGCTAGGTTATGATCACCAGCCAGATCATTTGTAATAGTCTTCGTTATAGTTAAAAAAGTATCTGATCTTACCATTGTGATCTTTGTTTAAATCCTTGCTTAATCCATCATCCTTAGCCTAATCATCAGTGACTTGAATTGAAAACCATCAATAACTCTGAAAATACCACATTGAATATAGGTAAAAAAAATAAATGATATAAAAAAATAATATCGAAATATATTTGCCAGCTGACAGAGCTTGATAATTCTGTGCAATCCGTAATGGGGGGAGGGGGAGGAAGGGTATTTACAAGCTTCACAGACTTATGAAAAACTTACATTACACCTATTATTTGCTATTGTTAATATTTTAAAATCATTATTGCCGTTTCAGTATGAATTAGAGGGATTATTCATTTTATTCATGAATAACTTCATTAAAAGTTTTTCCATCATCACATTCAATTTTAACTTTAAAACTATAAGCTTACTCCTGTTTTCATCCAAAAAACTTTATAACGGTACCAGTATATCATAGATCAGAAAATAATCAGGTAAAATATGCAAATCATACAAGAATATTATATATATTCTCTACAAATGATATTCTGTAATTTTCTTACCTCCTGGGTGCTTATAAGTTAATGTTAATTTATCTTATCCATTGTTATATCCACCAACAATTATATAATAATATATAATAACTGCATGTTCAGCATCCTGAAATAAAGTTTTCATACTGTATAGAATTATGATAAGTAACTTTCAAACCTCTACAAGGAAGAGTTCTGCATCCTCATGAAGTATCTGTTATGTTACAACATTGACTCTATGTATAATCTGGTAATAGTAGTAGAACCTGTCATTTTTTTTATTCCTGACTTTAAAATAAATCCTTTAACAGCTGTGTCTGTTGGTGAAATTTGAGTTTTAATTTCATTGAAGTTTCATGCTTACTGTAGTCACTCTGTTAAATGTTCCCACACAAAGATTTAGATACTGACTCTTATTAACCTAGAAATTAGGTGATTAGACCCAAACATTGATTACTCAAGGAAGCACTGGCCATGACATGTGAAATTGTTAATTTTTATGAGAGTATCTTGAATCTATTAAACTGCCTATGGAACAGAAGTCAATGAAACATTCTATCATTCCACTGTCATATATCATGAGCACAAATGCAGATTTATTGATGGTGGACACTCTTTTTTTTAAGAAATTTGGTTTTGAGAGATACTTTTTGCCTACAAAAAAAACATTAAAACTACTTGGTAAAAAAGATAGTTTTATGGAATGTATTTCAAGAGATAAGAAGCTTTCTGATTGGAAATCTAATTTGACACATCAGTTGCAGAGAGATTGGCATTGGTAATAGTCAAAGAGCAAGCACTTTCATATGTCTTGCCAGGCACAGTTTGGAACCAAAACATACTTTAGTATTTTCTATGAATCACCAAAAGAGTAAAGATTTTTTTTTAGAAGAGTAAGGTAATAAGGACTAGAATCTACAAGGTGTTAAAACTATAACATCTGATGTTTTGCTCATAATATTAGTTCATTCCTCACCATTTCCTTCTACTGTTTTTATACCACTATATCTCTCTATATCTCTCAATGGTAGAAAAAAATCATAGGATAAATATAGGTAGAAAACTCTTTTCTTACAGACGTAAAAATGGTAGGTTTTTTCTTTTTTTGTCAGGGTTTAGTAATTTTTGTGGCAAAAATAAGTCAGCTTTACAATGCATTTTAAATTTATGGTTATGGTCTTTTAGATGTTACTTAACTTTTAAGCTACAGTTTGAGCTAAGTTGGCTTTCTACTAAGAGCTCTTTTTCTACTAAGAGCAAAATTCTCTCTTTGTGCTTGGTATTTGTTTGTTGTTTTTGCAAATAGCAAAAAAATTATCTGAGTACATTCAATGACACAAATTTTAACTGGAGGAAAATACAGCAGGTTTTGTGGAGGCCTGGACCTAACACAAACCACAGCCAACAGATGCTCCATTGAACTCCATTTCCAACCACATAGGATCAATGACAAAATCTAAACATGGACATCTCCACCTCTCTCTTTGTTAATGATAAAGATGAACAATTTCAGATTACAAAACCAAAGTGGCTAACTGAAAAAGTGAAGACCTATTATTTGCTTGTATTTGCCATTGTTGAATGTTGATATTTTCCATATATTGTCGTCTTCTCATGTCTGCTATCCAAGATCAGGTTATTTGGCATTAAACCAAATTCAGGAATCAATTATTCCAAATACTGAATCCTTGATTGAATTGAAAAAAACTATTACCTTAAATTAACCATTAAAGGATCTTCTCAATTTGACTGTGTATTCAAATTCACAAATGTTCCTTGTGTGTAAGTTCACTAAATCCATTTCCAGTGCTGTTGGTTTGTACAAGTGTACTTTATGTACCAGTACATGTCTTGATTGTACACTAAGGTTTTCCATCTTGAAACCTGTAATGGAAGTTGAAGAACAAGAATGAACTTGTATTGTATATCAAGATAAATAAAACACTAGGTCTATTGATAGTAAAATATTCAATATGTCAGCCAATGGGTAGAAAGACAGGCTATTATTATTACTCTTGATATGATACAATTATGGGTAAGAAATGTCAATATTTTCTCAACCTAAATATTCATCATGTATCAATGATATCTGAATTATCATATTCTGTTATCTGAATTAATTTAGTTGTTTGGTTTTGTCCACATCTGAATTGGGAATAAATTTATCATGTAAGCTTATATAGAATTTGTCATATTCTGTTATCTGGATTAATTTAGTCCCAGTACGGTACTTGATTTTTACTACATCTGAATTAGGAATGAATTCATCTTGTATGTTATCTGAATTACCATATTCTGTTATCTGAATTAATAAGATGCTTGGTTTTGTCTTCATCTGAATTGGAAGTAAATGTATCACGTATGTATGTCTGATTTATCATATTCTGTTAAAAATCTGAATTAGTTTGGGGTTTTTTCCACGTCCTAATTAGGATTTGATTTATCATACCTATTATCTGAATTAATTGGTTTGCTACGTTGGATCCACATCTGAAATAGGAATGAATGCATCATGTATGATATCTGACTATTGGTTGTTTCATCTGAATTAGAAACATTTTAATTTATCATGTATACCTGACTTATACTATTATCAATTTGATTGTTTGTTTTTGTCTTTGAAATAGGAATAAATTAAGTTCCAGCAAGTTTAAGCTTATATTTTAGTTTCTAGATTTGATAAGAAACCAATGAAATTCAGTGAAACCAAATATTACACAAGTGGTTTCTTTGGATTAAAAATCTATTATTATACCTTTAACAATTTGTAATTTCTGAATAATGATAAGCTATGTTTGAGATCAGAAGTTTGAAGTATAATATTGTTTAAGTTATTTTAATATGTCTTAGAAGTTTTGTAAAATACTATGTCTAGTTGTAAATATATAGTATACTATAACAGTAAAGGGACAGATGTAAGATATATCAGATTACTGTTGTGATAATCTATTATAAAACAGGTTTAAACTTAATCATCCATAGTAAATAAATCACCTTATAAATTAATCTTATATACAGGTCTCTAGTACAACTTTGGCTATAGTAGACATATCATAGTGTTGTTGTTGACAAATTAGATTGCTGGTAAGACTGAATATATTGATAAATGAGAACTTTGAATCATAATTCAATTTCATAATACATGCATGCATAGAGGAATTCAATGAAAAATTGAGGGGTGGAATGTAAATTGCGCTGGCAACTAGCCATGATTGCCATGCAATATTTGCTTGTAAAATATGATATTTGAGTTTTCTTGCCATGGAAAAAGAGGTAATCATAAAGAATATATGGAAACAAATCTATATTCTAAGCTTATACAGGAAAAGTTCTAAAATATATTCCATCCATGGTCCTTGTTGATCACCTAAAATCCCTACTTGTGCTGCTTTGTGCATGTTTTGCAACATATTTGTGTTCAATATAATCATAAATTTTTGATATAAAATTTTCTTAAACTGTTGTGACATTCATAAGCTTGAGTTTGACATTTTAGGTCTTGAATTTTATATAGGAACATGAATGGTAGTTTGAACACAATCCATTGAATATCATTAGTTTCTTTTGTGTAAATGAAAATGAAAATCAATTATAACTATTATATAATATAACTTACCAACAGATGTCAGGACTTATTGATATGGCAATGCTTTACAAACCAGAAATTATACAAGTTGAAACATGGAATCCAATAGCTTCCTTTATAATTCCTGACATTATTCTCAGACTAATAGACTGTGTCACGTCTGCTAATAAAGTACAGTATTCAAATGTCAACTTGATCTGTATGGAGACAAAGACTTGGCCTTTGATATGAACCATGCCTCCACAATATTATCTAGCCAAGTTGCTATATGATCTGGGATGAGTTTGTGTGTGTTTACGTTGATAGATATGAATGAAAGAAGGACTTACCCTGACGATAATGTGAACTAAACAAGCGTTGAGTGACCTGGAATAGCGAAAAATCTATTGAAGAGTGAAATCAATGAATAATGAATATTTTGTAGTTGACAGATTGAACAAAGACTTGGCTTGAGATCAAAATATTATCAAGTATAATAGGGCTAGTATGTGACTGAATGGTTAGTTACCGTATTGGTATATAGTAAAAGTATTTATCTGACTATTTATTTATTACAGATTGGTATTTTTAAGGTAATTTAGTACATGTGTTGATGTTTTTGTTTCTGTGAAGGAGGAGGGGGGGATGGGCGTGTGCGTGTATGTTAAGAGGGGTACAGTTGGGGCTGGATAAGGGAGATGATATAGGGTATATAGATATAA